AAATCTCCGGCCAAACACTAGCAATGCTGTGAATTTCAAACACTCAAACTGGTTCGCTGCGGAAAGATTTACAGCAAAACAGAACCTGTCTCTTATTTGTACATAAATTCACAACATCGTTTAGGGTAGCAAACAAGCCTGCCATGAATGGCTGGTAATTATGTACAGCAGCAAATAAACCTTGTTTCTTTTCTGAGGCACTGGTGGCTTGTTAAGTGGTGAACAGACAAAACAGCATTTAGAAAATGAAAGGTGCAGGGAAACATCCAGGGCACGGCGAGCTTCCCTCCCATTAGAAACAACACTGTCTGTCTCACGACCGTTTGTTCGTTCCAACTGGCTGTGCTGGGAGGACGCAGCCGGAACCCCCACCACCAGCAGTAACTATGTCTCTCCCTTTTTTCTGTCCCCTCTCCCTCCGTCTGTCCAGCTCTTCCTCTAATCTTCTCACCATGTCCACTCCCCCCCCCCCCCCTCCTCTGCAGCTCCTCTGTTTTCTCCTCTCTCACAGTACATCCTACCCTATGCTTTGCTCCCTTTCTCAACATCAACCCCCTTTTCCATCCACCAAATCAAAGATAAGGCTAATGAAGGTGGCTTATTATTCCAGCATTCAAGACGCTGACAGTATACACATCTAGCGTAACATTATGCGGCTCCTCCGGCTCCACCATGAGAAACACGTTTCAGAAAAAAAGTTTAAATTAGACAAGGGCCAATGAATCTATTAGTGTTATTATATCACAAAAACCAGTGCTGTTATTGCCACTGTGTGTGTCATTACAAAGGAAACAATACATGGTTTGTGAAACCAATTAAAATCCAGCCCCGTCACATAGCTTCCTCTCTCTCGAGTCATGTTGTGAATATGTCGCTTTCACACTATGTCAATGCACCTGTGTCTACTGCATTAAAGTCCCCACCTCTTTCGGCTCCTTCTCAAATTTCCCAGCATCCCGTCTAACTATCTGTTTCGAGAATCCCATGAGTTGAAATACCAGAGGGCCCCGGGAGAGTGTGTGAGCAGAGCAAGGGAAATTTCACATTATCTATCCATCTGCAATATAAGGGTCTGATGTGGAAGCAGGAAATGAGCTATGAACGTCAAGCCCGCATGCTCACGGTCCCAGTGGCCACCAGCCTACATAGTGAGATCAACATGGAAAGTGGTTTAATAGACCCCTGTTTAATTGGACTTTTATTTGTTAATAGCAAAAATCCTGATGCATTGCTTTAATTACCCTGGCAGAACTAATTCATGAACATGGTTCAAAAATGTAGCTGGACTTGGCGTTCAAATAGCATCCAACAGGTTTCCTCTCTTTCTCTTTTTAAACCTCCTGTCCTCAAAGTGCTCTTGCCTCTGCCTTCCACGGGAATCTCCTTGATAGGACTTGTAAGGCATGTGTTGGTTTAAACCCTCAGTGTACTTTAACCAGCCATGGTCATGAATGAATGCAGAGAACTGAGCAGGGGAGAGCACTGAGGCCATTTCCCCCCCTAAAAGGGCTGGGGCCCACCCAGATCCTATATGTGAGCATGTCCATGTTTGCCAGGCCCTCAGAGTGCAGAGCAGCCCTCGTCAGTTTGGCTGCTGCTATGAAGGGAGGGAGGAAGGGAGGGAGGCAGCTCCCCCTGCAGAGCGCTGGTCCAAGACAACCACAGGCAGCCTCTGCTCACATCTACACTCAGCCCAATCACACATCAACTGCTCTGTCAATGCAGCCAATTGAAGGAGAGATGCTTAATGTCATTCTGATTACGCTGTTTTTAATTCATTACATGACTCCGCTGTAACAGTTTTGCCTCAGCGTCTCACGCCTCGTACTGACACATATTCTTTAAAACGGGGACATTCTTTAAAGTAGATTTGCACAGTTTGCCTGTCAGCTACTGATGTAATTTTTGTCCCACTCAGCCACTTTGTAATTGTGTGTGTGTGTGTGTGTGTGTGTGTGTGTGTGTGTATGTTTACGTGTGTGTGTGTGTATGAGTATGCCAGTGGAGTGCGACTACAAATGTGTGTCTTCCTCCTGGAACAGCTCCCATCATCGGGGGGGGGGAGGCAGCAAAGAGCTCAGCAGCGCCTCAGTCCCTCAGGACATGCTGCAGCTCTCTCCTCGCGGCCATGAAAAGCAATCAGAGCCCGGCTTTCTCCCCTGGACTTACCTCTGCCTTTAATTACAGAACTCAGCAGCGGCAGCAGCACATAGGAAGACTGCCTCCACTGGGCCAGAGCCAGCATGTCACAGCCAAAACGAGGGGCTGGGGTCAACCCAGCAGGTCTCGACACACAGTGGCCTGACATAAACAGTGCACTTAAACATATAGTCGGTCCTGATGAGCTCAGCTTGCTTCTACATGGACTAGACAGAGTCAAGGTGCTTCCATACTGAAGCGGTACAATGTGCAGAGAAAACTGCAGTGCTCCAGACATAAAACACAGTGGGGCTCACACAGGGAGGGAAAGCCCTTACTGTATGTTTAACGAGATGGTCTTGCCTGTATTCTGCCATTTGGAAACGTCCAAACTTGTAGCACAAGCTACCAGGCAATACCTCCATTCATCCATCGTCAACCGCTTATCCTGCATACAGGGTGGCGGGGGGCTGGAGTCAATCCCAGCTGACATCGGCCGCAAGGCAGGGTACACCCTGGACAGGTCCAGTCCATCGCAGGGCCACACATAGACGAACAACCACTCACGCTCACACTCACACCTAAGGACAATTTAGGGTCACCAATCAACCTAGTCCAGATGTCTTTGGATGGTGGGAGGAAGCCGGAACACCCAGGGAGAACCCATGCAGACACGGGGAGAACATGCAAACAGAAAGGCCGGGTTTTGAACCACAACCTTCTTGCTGTGAGGCAACAGTGCTAACCACTGCACCACCGTGCCGCCCCAGGATATACCTAATTACTATAAAATAGTCAATCATACAAACATTTGCGATACTGCACTGTTGTATCCTGATTGATGCTTCTTTTCTTTATTCTAAGTTATAGTGGTTGGAACATATGAGGTGTAAAATACTCAAAAACATGATCCTCATATGTAACTGGTAAGAAAAAGGATGACTGATGAGGATCAGTACATTGTGTATAATTGAGGCTCTCTCTCATTGGTCAGATGTGGTGGTAGAGGCCCCACACATGTGCCTAAGGCTGAAGCAGAGGAGCAGCCACAGACCACACATGGGCAGGGAAAGATAAGAGACTATGTACACAAGCTGCTGGTTTAATTGCTGCAACATAACGCTTGGATAGCATTGTAAACATGTTTTTTAGAGAACCTTCCAGCACTGTCCTTGCTACTGTGGAATAGAGCCGTGGTGTTGAAATGTGTCATTGAGCTCAATTTCTCACCCAATTTCAACTGAACAGAGTGAAAGCAATAAGACTGACCAGGAGGAGAAGTGAATGCTGTTAAGACAAACCTCCATGGCTGGCTTGGTGGCACATCCCGGACTGAAAACACAGTGTGACGTGATAGCTCTTATTAGTTTCCGCATCTATGGTCTTCAAACAAGGCCAGGCGGCCGGAGCAAGGAGGCCCTCTTCCCTCCACACGTCACGTGGCCTCAGGCCCAATGCTGTGATGGTGTGACGGCACAAACTATCATGTGTGCCGTCACACACGATAATGACTACCACATCAACATGTCAACTCAATTTGGCCCCCTTATAGGCTCTCTTTGACTCAATCAATGCATGGCCTTCCATCTGGTTTCCACTGCTGTCTTCACATTAGGATAGCAGAGAGCAGTGACAGGCATTACACTAACAGTTCACTATAACTGCTCCCATCAGTTTAACATTACATTAAATTTTTTTAAGCAAGTGCCCAGTGCATGCTAAAAAAGTCCAAAAACAGCCTATCAAATGGGCTAATAAAAGCTACAAAACATAAATCAAACCAAGTCACGTCAGGTCAATAACTGTGTGCTGTGCAGATCATTAATTGTGGCGATAAATCCACCGCCTTCTTATTTGAAAATCCCATCTTACAAGGCATTCCAATAAACATCAGCCAGGCAAATTTCTAGCTCGTTAAAAATTTAACCCAATTAAAATCCTATTTATAAAAAAAGTTAACAACTGATTCTAACACCTCCACAAAACCGCAGCACAGAGGCTGTTACTATGGGCTGCAGCTCATTATTCTCTAGCATGCCTTGTCTGGCTGGCAGTGTGGCTGACTGGGACATCCAGTAAACATCTGTCATGAGGCATCCTTAAAGGGGAGCACAGACACAGTAAGCTACTGATCTAGTGACCCGACAGTGCAGGCATTCACATATGCCCTTGTGCACCTGTATGTTGCTCCACTATGATGATGTTTAGGCCATTATTTTAGGATATGTGCTTATAAAACGTTTATGAATCATTTATTCGCCATTATCACAGTGGAGGGGCCTAGCTGTAAAATGGTGTGTTATCCCATTGGGTTTCAATAGCCCATTCATGAATCATTCATTAGTTTGGACTCTAGATTACTCCCCTTTATTCATTTCTTATTCGTTTTGGGGTAAAGCTGCTCGGGATGCATACCGTTGATTCAAAATGACGTCCACAGGCCACTGTTTGTCTTCAAAACATACACACAGAGCAAGACAACTGGCTTCAATATGCACAACCACACGTGGCATCTGTATTTGTGTTGATTTTCCGAGCCTAAAGCGAATAGGTCAGTGCCTGTGCTTTAAAGAAGTGGGGGTATTTTTCGCAGGGAATTGGTAATCGATTGAGCAGAGACGAATGAATGTAGGCTACGACAGCTGTCCCGAGGAGGCAGGGCAGCTACTACACCGCATGCTTGGTGTGTTCTCCCTTTGAATAAAATGTCCGATCAGATCAAATCAGGGAAAGCAGGCATATAAATCAGCGTGTGTTTGTGTATAAATCAAGCTGTCATGTGCATACCTTAGAGAGCTCGCTCCCCATTCAAATACATACGGCACGCTGAATAGCAGCATAATAACGTTTGCACTGCCTACCTCCAGAGCGTATGCGCCCAAACTGCGTTTTTTTTCCCCCGTCGCAATGGGATCCTTCTCCGCCGCTTTGGACAGTATCAGAGATGCGTCTTTCCCCCGAAATGCAAACACTTCCCCTGCATGTCCACCCCCCACCCTCCCCGCCACCACCACCACCACCAGCAGTAGCAGCAGCAGCAGCAGCAGCCCGGGCCTCCAGTAATAGCAGGTGGACGCGCCTCTCAATGATGGAGACAGCGCGACTCTCCTCTCCCCCGCCGCTCCATTTTCAATTACGGAAGAATTCGTATTCCAGGAAACGCGCTATAGGGCAGCCAGCATGTCCTAATATCGCCGCTTTTCTCGGGACAAACAGGGGCCGTCGCCTCTCAAACTCCCGATTCGCGGCACCCCCTCGCCTGTTATCTACCTTTCACGAGATGCTTGATGTTGCCATTGTCACGGCGTATTTTTTCTTCCTTTTTTTTTTTTTTTGCAGCTGGACCTCTCCCCCTCCTTGCGGCGCGCAGTCTCGTAGGCGCGCTCTCCTCTTGCTCCCCCTCCGATTCTTCTCTGTCCGACCTATGAGCGCGCACAGCCAGCCGACGCAGGGCCACGCACTGCTTTGACGGGCGCGCTGAGCAAATCAGGTAGCCCACTCCAAACAGGACTGTATCATAACAGGGCAACTGCAATGACATGAATAATGAATAGGCTACTCATGTATGTCTATGCTGGATGATAGGCCCACTCATAACACTAACCGAACTGGAGGCAGTATTTGGATAGACTTCAGTTTCTCTCTCTCTCTCTCTCTCTCTCTCTCTCTCTCTCTCTCGCCATGAATTGGATCTGCAAACCAAATCAATGCGAAGTCGATTACATTGATCCAAACAATTTGAATCAGAAACTCAATGGGATATTTAGCCAAATAGCGACTTGGATGGATGTGTATCAATAAAAAGTCAATTACTCATAACTCACAGTTATGTCATGTGAGAGCTTCCAGTCAGTCAATGGAGGGCGGGACTGCACACAGCACCTTCATCCCTTAATATGTCTTGAAAAGCTGTACATGGTGCCCCCTTTATTCAGGAAGTCCCCATTTATACTGCCCTTTAGAAACAATGATTGAAAACAAAATTAAGTTGATAAATCGATTAATCAATGGACCAAAATTTACTCAATAACTGTTATGATTATCGTTTATCATGTAAATGCCAAACATTTGCTGGTTCCACTTTCTACAATGTGATGTTGTTGTTTTCTCTGTTGTACATCGTTATCATGTGGGCTACATTGAATATGTTTTGGTTTTAGACTGTGATCGGGCAAAAACAAGACATTTGAAGATCTGGGATGTTATGATGGCCATTTATATAGGCTATGCAACAGATATTGTACAGGCAAAACCCTGGACCATAAGGTATTACTTAGGGCTGCAAACAACTATTAACTTCATCATTAATTAATCTGACGATTATTCTTTTTCATTGGTTAAAAAAAATGTCAGAAAGCTGTAAAAACTGCACCATCACATTTTCCAAAAGCCCAAAGTTGACATATTCAAACTGCTTGTTTAGTCTGACCTGCAGCCAATAATCCATAGAAGCCATAAAACTGAAAATATTCACATTTGAGAAACTGGAACCAGTGAATTTCTGCTTTTTCTGGCATTTTTGCTTAAAAGCTGACTGATCAATATCTGCTATTGACCATAAATTGTTGCAGATTAAGGCTTTTTTGACTGACTTATCAGTTCAGCTTATTGTTTCAACCCAAGCATTATTGCAGGTCTATTAGCCCTAAAAGTCTATCTATAGAACTACTCAGACATCTTGAGGCTCTTCAGTTCTTCACTGGTGTAAAAGCCTGTGAGTGATCTAAATGTGTATAATGCCCAGTGAAAGAGAACCGCTAAACTAAATAATTGATTGAAGCCAAACAGTTAATTTCCAGTTGTGTGAATGCACAAATTAAGCTGTAATGGCTTCCAATAAAACAGAGCCCAAAACTGTCCTTCTGCAGCTCGGTCACACATGTTATAGCATGCAAAGACTGATTGGCATTCTTTGTTATTGAACTCTGTTCATGCATACATAGACATAACACACACACTGGCATTCATTTGAGGTGTTGATGTGCAGAATCTATCTTTAACGCTCTGAAATGCGCACGCGCGCACACACACACACACACACACATACATACATACACACATGGCAAATTACCTTGAAAATAAGAAAAGATAGATTAGTAGCATCACTTTTATTAGCTATGTTTTCACTTTCCACTCAAAGTACAAGACTTGTGATAATGAACGCAGTTGTGACTCCATAGTAACGGAATACATATCCACCTATCTTAAAATACCTTTTCAACTGCAATCATCCATACAGATGTTTTTAAAGAAGCAACCCACTGACTTACAGCTTCTCTTAAGCTGTTCACAAAACTCAAAGCAGAAAATTTTCATGCTGGTATAATTACAGAGTTTCTTCATGTCTCAACTGTAAACAGAAGTAATCGCTACTGCAGTGTGATGAGTGTAATATGAAATAATAAGCTCAGCTATACAACTCAATACTGAAGATGGCAGCCATCCATCATCTGCATAACATAAAGCCTTGATCACCAAAGATAATCATCATAAAGCCTGTCATAACATTTGTTTCATCAAATGAATGACAGTGTAATGTATGCAACTAGATATATACTGTACGAAAGTAATGTAAGTACATGGTACAAAAGAGTAACTCAACTCTGCTGCTGTACACAAAACTTTAACTTTTTCACTCAAATAATTTCCCAAATAACATGTTTTACGTGATTTTATCCAAAATGCATTCAAGGAGAATCATTTGTTACCCACAATTTCTTCTCCAAAACAACATACTATTTACAAACATAAAAAATCACAGTTGACAGCAGTTTACCAAGGATCAAAGTCATTTATCTATCATTATACAGGCTTGTACAACGAAGTTTATAGTGCCAGATCATTAAATTTGTATTAGAATAGGGTGATATATAAAATAAAAACCATAGAGGCCTATACAGTTATTTATATACATGTATACATACACACATACACCCAGGAAACAATTCTACAGTGCAGTGAAACGACATTAGAAAATGTAAATTAGAAAATGTGGAAACGTAGAGTAACACAATGTTTGCTTTTCTGTCTTTCAGTGGAAAAGCATCACCAGTGCAACACCCAAACAGCTTTCTGTTGTGTGAGTCATATACATGTTGTTCTTCTTTTGTTGTAAAACAAGAGCGCCCATGTTTACAGTATAGGAACTATATTTTGTTAAACTATTTCAGATAACTGGGTGAGTGCGTAGTACTTGACCAAATACTCTACTCTGCATTAATTATTTGGTGAATTTGGCCGGTTTAAGTGCAGTCTTTATTATTTTTTTGTGTTGTCTGAATGAAGAGCCATTTATTTGAGTTTCAGTCAAGTGTTTTAGATGCAGTGAGACTCCTGAAAAACAGTCTGTGCAAAAGATGTCTGTGACAAAAGTAAGTCAAGACTGAACTGGAAATTCAGGAAAATGGTGAATGGAGTTGATGTCAAGGTAAGGATATGTGCGGCTGAAAAGTTAATCGGAACTGAAAGTGAAAAATGGGCAGATTCTCCTCAAGCCAGCATAAAGTTGAAATATAACCGCAGGAGGTGACTCTGGCAATCAAGCCCATAAAATTAAAGGCAGAGCGCAGAATCTAAAAGCTGCAATCTTCAGGCTTTGACACTCACCAGGGCTGGCAGGCACTGTAAAATCTCCAATAAGATTATGACAGTTGTAACCTGCATGCATTCATCTTTGTATTAGCGTCACTGTGCCCGGCCAAACGGTCTAAGATGGGGCTATTTGGTTTGATTTGTCAGCACTGCTTGAGAGGCAGTGGAGAGGTTGATTCAAAAAGCGGTCCTGAAATGTACACGCAGGTTCACACTGACTCATGTGAATCCATCTAAAAGTCTTAAAGGTCACGGAATGACCAGAATAAACACATATATCCTTCTCACCAGGGCCTCGCTCTTAGGCGTTTGATCCACTTTTATAGTTTCCTCCTCACCAAATTCAGAGGTAGATTTCTGGGATTTTTGTATACATAAAGTAAATATACATGGCACACCTAAAAGTTTTAGAATAGTTTGATCTCAATAGTGATCACAAAAATGTAGGACCAGTTATTTTAGTGGGAAGTACATTTTTCAGTGTCACAAAAAATGTTCTACACATGAACTTTCTTTTGGAGATAATCAAGCACTTGAATAGGAAATCTCTCTTGAGTAGTTATTATATAGAAGTTATTTGTGTAATAATTTGAGTTTGTGAATTTAATTGATTTGTAAGGCTGAACAGCAGAGAGACAGACAGTAGTGATGATGATGTCGTCTAGGCACAGACCCCGGAGCAGCTCCACAGACAGTGAATAATGGAACAACTCCTGTGGGACTCTTTGACAGCAGCCACAGTCATTTTACTGGAACATGGGGACATTTTCGGATTCACAGCAGCAGCAGAGTTACATTTCAAAATGTCCACAGATTCAGTCACTAATACAGTGTCGGTTCACCTGTGACATCTAATAACAGGTATTACTGGACTTGTTAACTGCACTTACGTTTTATGTATCTTTTGACACAAAACTTATAATTATACCCATTGATTTGTACACTTAAAAGGGGATGCTTTTTTTCTTTTTATGCGAGTACTTTTTGCACTACTACCATGTGCGTACTGCTGCTGTGACAATTTCCTCCCTGTGGATAAATAAAGTATCTCTATCACCAGCACAGGTCTCACTCTGATTTCCATCTTAGAGCCAACACAACTTAACTTAGCTCATATTTTTAAGGAGGGTTTTCCCTTTTAGAATCCCGTCTTGGAGTCCTACAGGGTTCAGTCTCCATCTTTTATATACCTTCAAAAGAGAAACCATTTAACCTTACATGATCCAACTGTTTTTTATTGCCCCAAAAAGGAAGACATTTTTGCCCAGTGAGTATAAAACACATTAAAACTCAAGAGATTCAAAGGTTTTGTATCTGCAGCATATTCCAAATGTGTGGCCTGGATCATCCAGGCCCTGCTCAGAGGTTGCATCATCTGCAGCATACTGCATAGGTGCAGGAATGGTAATGCCACTATATCTGTGTTTATTGACTTTAAACGGATCAGACGTGTGTGCGCAAGTGCAGACATTTGTGAATATTCATTCTCATTTTGACCAGGAGCATTGATATAGTACACAGGGATTAGGCACATAAATTTACACACCCACACAAAACGGTGGAAATAACTACATCTTCTCTGAGGCATCGATGCATATTTATCACGACGTAGACGCCCTTGGCCACATACAAGTTCCATTGTAGTGCAATGGGAGATAGCTGACTGTCTGGTGCAGAGGGATCACCCTGAGTCTCGGTCTGCTCTGCCTGTTATTATGTTGGGGAAAAAAGCAACAGGCCATGGAGGGGTCAGCAGGGATTTGACGTGTGTGGCTGAACCCCTCTTATCACCATTGCACTCGGAACAGCTTTCATAAGCCCAGGGTTGCAGCTCTTTGGGGGCATATGTAGAGGATCTACCAATTAAATCCATCCTTGAATCACGATTCATGATAGTATAATATAGCCATGTGCAGACAGAACAAGGAGATCCCATCCTATAAGCACATCAGCGGCATGTTCTCTGAAAATCTCTCATTCAGTAGAAGTTCGGGGTTTGCATTAGGGGCTGAGTCTTCTGCTGCGGTCCATATTACGGACGTTATTAAAGGCCTTTGTGTGCCTGCCTTGCTTTGCGCCTGCAGAATGCTGCATGGGAATCAGGGAGATGGCTTCCTCATTACTTCCTGAAGACATGCAGACAAGCAGCTCACTACACTACTAATCACATGCACGCCATACAGACCAATTAAGGGTAATTTAACAATAGATTTTGTGATTTGGTTTATAAACATAAATAGCCGGAGAGCAAACTATCTCCCTGTGTAAGTTCATCTCGCATTGCTCAGTAACTTCAATATGTGTTATGTCCTTGACCATATCAATCACACACAAAGCATTGCCTCAGCAAAGAAGAGAAAAAGCAAAGAAAATCTGCTCTGTATAATTTCTAAGGCTCTCTCACAGACCCTGAGCAGATCATAGTGAATTATGTCCACTGAATAATTAGCAAATAACCTGTTAGGGGCCTCAGCTGAACGTTGTTGGAAGTCGCTAATGAATAGTCTCATAATCTCTTCCTAGGTTAGATTAGAAGGACGTCATTAACATCAACTCATCTGCCTGGACATCTGACGCATGAAAGGAGGCCCATCCATCCAGTAATCATCCAGTTGCTTTCCTTTCAAGCAGGGCTCTATCAAAGTCTACTTTCATCTATAATGTCTGACTTCCTCGGGAGGTGGTGGCAACTTCACCATGCAGCGCAGCATGGCCTGGGCTGTCACGCTATGTGAATGTTTTTTGTTATTGTCTGTTTCAATTATAATCCTGTCGAAAAGCCTCACAGAAAGTGGCATCGAATGCATGTGGCCACAGAGGAGGATCCAGGGAGCTGCAGGGGTTCTTGGGGGGGGGGGGGAACAATCCTGAAAACAATTTCTCTGACTGCTCTGTTGAGTTACAGAATAGCCTATACATAATTTTACTTTGTTATTAATCAAGGGATACACATTTTGATACCAATTTGATTGAAAATGTGTTGAAAATTGTAATTAATTTGAACTCAAGAACATTTCTAAACATAAAATATAGTAACTTCCAGAAATACTGATGTAATTGTGAATAAAAACATTTCTATCAATTCCCAACCTTTGGCTTGTGACTCTTTAGGAAACAGTGTTAAAGTTTACGTGTACTTCTATGCTTTTAGAAGCCTGGAAATGTAAGATGACCTAACGAATAGTTTGACATTTTGTGAAATATGATTATATGACAATATCAATAGATGTTTCCCCATCTTCAGTCTTTATGCAGACATGAGTGGCAACAATCTTCTCATATAACTCTCCACCAGAAAGCCAATAAGCACATTTCACACAGTGTCAAACTATTTATTTACATAGAAGGTAATTTGACTTCAGGCCTCTAAATATATTGAAATAAAAAAACTGAGAAGGTAAAAGTTAAGCTAAGCTAACCAGCAGCTGGGTTAAGCCTTATATTTGAGTGGTATCAATCTTCTCATCTAACGCTCAGCAAGAAAGCTATTTATTATGCGCTTCTTGTTTTGTTTTTTTCTTTACTGGCGTGTTTTTAGTAATGGTGATGTGTGGTGATATTTTTTAAGCGGAGGAGCTGAAACGGGGACAGGGGATGCAAATCAACCTTGGCTAGAAACCTTACATGCAACATGTCTGTTTCATACTATCGTAACTTATTAATTTTCTTTTTTTGCATTGTCCCTGACAAATACATTAGAAAGGAAGAAAAAAAGAATGAGTATTTCCCAAAATGTCAAACTATCGCTTTAACAAGTGCAAAGGAAACATTAGAGAAATGTCATGGTTCTATGTAACAGAAAAATGTCCCCACTTTGGGAACCAGTGGTCTAATACGACCACAGACACTAAAGAGATACCTTCCTGGGTATAAATGATAATAGAGTATCGTTTTAAGGCATTTCCTCTCATGGGATATATTGCGATTTCACTTGAACCTACTCAGAATAACAGCACAGAGACCTTGTAATTTAGACAAAAGCAAACATTTATTAATCTGTCTGCAGTGTACTGACACAGTCAACATAATCTAGAATATTTTGAAACAGGCTTCACATTGTGTGTATCGTACAAGACACCCGACTAATATTTGTAACATTTATAGATACAATACCATACCAACACTTCTATCAAAATCTGCATATCACAGCCAAAACAGCCCTCAGAAAATGAGGACATACATGTACTGTCTTTATATTCTGATCATACAATACAAAAAGCTGTCTTAGCACTGTTAAAACTCTATGAACAACTTTTCATTAGAAGAGGCCCATCAACCAACGCTAAATGATATGACTGCAAAATGTTCCCAGAGGAGGCTTTCAAGTTGTTGCCTCTTAATGTGGCTCCAACTGCGGTGAAAACCATTCATGATTTATTAGAGTCACTTCCTGTCTTTTTCAGAGTTTTATGTTTACATGAATGTGTCTGTGACGTACTGCTAATTCACTGGAGCGCCATTTTGTACATCCATGAGTCCCAAACATCCACATTGTGTTGTAATTTGTCTAGAAGATTTGGTTTTCTGCCAAATTTGATATTTTTAGAACATGCATGGAAAACTGACATGGGAAATGTGCATTATGACTGAATCCTAATGAAGTATCCACTTTATGAAATAGTGTTCTTCAGGTAAACACATACTGCAGAAATATTTTGAGTAAGTATTTTACTGTGATAACTTAATCGCAGAATGAAGTCATATGTACACATCCTTGATATAAAAACGCAAACTTTAGGTTCAGTTTATTTTGAAAATCATTTAAAAAAATTTAATCAATACAAATTTAGTGTCACCATCAAGGCATATGTAAGTCATTACGTGTACTCTCATCTGTTTCCAGTGCAATGGAAGATGTCAATAAACCTGATGTCAAAAATGAGGGGGGGCTACCATGTTGACTAACAGATGTCTTAAACACACGTATGTGATATTCAAGGTCTCTTATGTTTGGCTTCAGCTGAGGCAACTGGCATAGAAGCTCTATCTCTGGACACCAGCCAGTGCTAAACACACTTGCTCCCTGTTCTGCTCCTCCTCCTTCACTTTGGCGAGCAGTGGCCTTTATTCACATGAGTAGGAGGAGGAATAGTCACATGGGTGGGGGGCTTGGCTGAAGTGGGAGTGGGTAGTGGGGAAGTACCCCTACTCCGCTCCTTCTCCAATGCTGCACAGACTCCAGCGGATTCCAGCGTAGGCCATCTGTGAGGGATGAAGGGACGTGGAGGTGGCAGCTTTTCTCAACAGGAGCAGTTCCCACAGCCCTTAACACTGTTAAGGATCTCCTCCTGCAATTTCTCCTCTCCTCCTCCTTCTGGGACAGGCGCTCAGCCGGAGGCTCTGACGAGCTCTTTTTGTTGTTGAGGATTTTGCTGTTCTGGGTGTTCCACAGGTCTGAGTACAAGCTGTCTGGGATGCTGAGGAGGGTGTGGTGGTCACCTCGTTCTACCACTTTACCCTGGCAGAGAGAAAAAAAGAGCAGGGAATCAAGAAAAAAAGAAACATATGAAACATAGACTTGCCAAAAAAATATAGCTGCAGCACACATGGAATGAAAACCAAGAGGCCATGAGCACAGAGTCCTATAGTTAGCATCTCATCATGACCAAACAACACTAACCACACTCTCTGCAGAGAGTCAGCTCCCCCCTAGAATCCCTGCCGCCTCCCCAACAACTGTTGCAATTCCTCTTGCAAAGACAGACTCGCAGACACACACACACACACACACACACACACAGCCCTCCCACACAGCCAAATACAAATGAAGTCACCCCCTTCCCCCACCTCCCATGAGCATGCAGAGGTGTTGGCATCATCTTTAGTGTACCCAAGATGAGCACGTGACTGCTTCTGCTCGTTATTTTAATGAGCACCCCAGGCAGTCCTCTGCTGGTGACACCAGCAAACGCCATGGCGACATCACACGCAAACATGCCTCCTCACCACGACCCTCTGATCCCTGCCATCTGACTCTGGGAACACGGAACGACACATGCTCACTCGCCACAGTTCAAAGAAACCTCTCATTTTATCCTATCTGACTCTAGCACTGGTTGAAAATGTCACTTCATCTGTGATCCATTTCATATTAGCTCTTACTTTGCAGATAATAACTGACTTCGCTCTGTGTCTTTTTGTGTTTTAAGCCCAACCCATTACATACTGCAGCATTTTTCTCTTTCGCTTGGATTCTCTGATGCACAATGACAATGGAGCAAAAACGATTCTCCATATTTATTTTTAAAAACATTCCCCATGTCTCGAAGGCACCTTCAGCCTGACTTAAACACATCAGGCCAAAAACTGTATAGATAAATCATTTGGATGCCGATCTCCGTGGAGTCCTGGATGAGGCCTCATCAGTGTCTGGGAAGCTGGCCCATACATTATTAGTCACCGAGACAAACAAGACACGCCATCTGACCAAAACAGCCAGTCGAGTCTGACTGCTTTAATGAGCCCTTATGGACAAAATAATACATTCAATTCTACCAACAGTGTCTTGTTGTTGTTGAAGTTAATGAGAGAAGCTAAACAAAGCATGTTTTCATCACGTACGTTGGAGAAAGGTAACTCAGAATAAATGAGTGGCAAAAGCAGAGGCCACTTGCTAAATTCATGTTGCTGGCAGACACAGTGCACTGAAGGTCACGCAAAGTGCAGGTCATCATCCTTCCTTCAATGCAAAACCATCTAATTGGACTGGCAATTAACACGGTGCGTGTTTATACTCAGAAAACTCTGAACCGTATTATTTGCTTTTTATGAACCTGACATTACAACTGGAAATGTTAACCAGGGAAGGTACGAGATCAAGTAAAAAAATAAGTGGATGAGTTCTTACCTCGTTGAGCACTATAATCTCGTCCGCATCTACGATTGTAGAAAGCCTGTGGGCGATGAACACTGTTGTCCTGTCCTTCACCATCCCCTTCATTGAACTCAGGATGTTCTGGAAGTACACAAACACCACAAAGAACCTAATCACTCACTGTTAAGATTTAAAAGGAGTATCTCCTAATCAAAAGAAAATTGTTTCCGGGGTTTCCAAAAAAAGTTTGAGCGCATGAATGACAGGATATATATGAAATGTAAACTTTGATTTGAAAGAGAAGCCGAGTCAACAGAATGTTGCTCAGCAACATCCAGCTTCATATGCTTTTCTTTCCAATGTTTACATATGATAATTAAAAAAAAAAAAAAAAAACATTGTGATAAGAAGCAACAGAAAATCTCAATTAACAGCCAGATACTGCCCCACTCTTTTTTCTGAAGTTCAGAGACGGCATGCTGAACTTTCTCATTAAATGTAACATTTACAAAGACTGTGGGGTTTAAGCTGAGCTGGAGATTAAGTAGGAGAAAACAGTGGCAGGTGGCAAGGGAGAACATGGGGGTGGTGTGTGTTTGTGTGTGCGCGCTTGTGTAGGGGGTGTGTGTGTATGTCACAGCAGGTATGTGACGCAGGACTGAGCTGATTTATTGTGTACCTACAGCAGGTGACTGAGTGGGTGTTTATTCTGCTAAATGTGTATGCAGCCACGGCGAGGTGTCAACCTGTATGTGCAGCAGAGAATGGGCATTCGTGGGTATGTTACGTATGCATGCCTGTCTCTGTCAGTGTGTATGTGTTCACACGCTGTCAGACCCACCTCTTCTGTGATCGAGTCGAGGGAGGATGTTGCTTCGTCATACAGGAGGATCGGTGGATTCTTAAGTATTGCGCGGGCGATGGCGACCGTTGCTTCTCCCCTCCTGCAACAAACCAACAGATATCATCAATAAAAGCAAACCAGGCAAAAGCCAAAATGTTTGAACCATGTGAGGATACAGCAGGCCGTTCTCTGGCCCTTCTCATCAGATAATTACCTCAAACGGAGGGCCAACGCTCAGACAATGCCAATGCTACAGGCTTCAGCCTGGTAAAACAGACTTTCATTTAATTGAGAAGGAAAATCAGCAGGACGCAAAGATTTCTCCCACTGTGTCTAACTCTGCCTTTATTACATATGAGCTGTGTGTGGCCTCTTGAAAGCAAGCAGCGTTCAGCAGATATAAATATTGCTGGCAGCGGAGAACAGCCATGAAGGAAGTTAGGAGCCTCACAGCCCAGACTGCCCCCCCCCCCCCCCCGCAAACTCGCTGGCAGCTGTCACGTACAGCAGCAGTGAAATTAATGAGAACTTAGTCATGTCTTTATTTTGTCCGTTCTCTCACTCACTCAGTCACTCCACATAAAGAAATCTGTGCTGCCAGTAATTGCATCTTGAATGTTGAGTGAAAGCACTCTCTCTCTCTCTCTCACACACACACACACACACACACACACACACAGTGTGTTTACGTGGGCCAAATGAGTTGCAGAGTGATGCTACGGGCCAAATACTACACAGTCTTATGCGATCACTGCAGATCAAATAAGAAAACATTAAACAAGTTCATCCAGCACGTAAAAGAGGACAACTAAAAAATAATTGTGCAGCTACAGATCAAGTCTCAAATGAATCTCATAAGTTCAAATTTAATAATGAACTTAAGCTTCATTATCACCTCATCTTACAAGAGAACATCTCATAATGAAAGTCTTAAAAGTAATATTCAACTGTCATAGTCACACAGACTTTTTTATATAATCTACAGCTGTGCAAACTTCTCAAAGCAACACAACATGCGACATGCCAATTATCATCCTAATATATGTTCTTGGCAGCAGAGACAGAGATAGATTATAATCTCTCTCTCTATCTATCTCGATAGATATAGATCTATCCATCTATACACACACACACACACACACACACACACACACACACGTTTTTGCTTGCTATTCCATCCAGGGAAATACACAAAACACACAGCTCTTTCACTTGCTTCTGCAGGAGACAATATTTAAACAGCAGCCATAATAGTGCAGCAAACCTGACAGCTTGAGGCCCCGCTCCCCAACCTGGGTGTCATAGCCATGGGGCATCCTGAGGATAGCATCATGGATGCCTGCTAGACGCGCCACTTGGTACACCTCCTCTGGTGTAGCGTTGATGTTGCCGTACTGCAGGTTGTAGAAGATGGTGTTGTGGAACAGAACGGCATCCTGACAACAACACAGTTAGAGGGAAAAAAATGAGGCTTCAGAGAATATTTTTATTGCTGCAGCAACAGAAAAACAGGACTGCAGATACAAAAACAAGGGTAGGAGGGAGAAAGAGAAAGAACGCAAATTACAAAAATACTGTTCATGTACCATCTGTTCAGATGAGCCTCTGAGCTCACTGCAGTGAAAACTCATCTTATTTCTAATGCTGTAAATTCATAATGTTACATTGTTCTATGCTGCCCCCTTGTTGTATTTCGTTATCAATAATATATTACATTTCCAATAAAAAAGTCATGTCTAGACATGTACATTTCATTTGTGGTGAATAAATGAAGAAACAAAAATATATATGTGATTTTTGTGTATTTTATTTTGTTGGTGTGCCTCAGACCTGAGGTACAACGCCCAAAGACTTCCTCAGGCTGTCAAGGCTGACGTCTCGGATATTCTGCCCCGCTACGTAGATGTTCCCCCGCTGGGGCTCATAGAAGCGGAACAACAGCCGCACAATGGTGCTCTTCCTGCAACCAGACGTGGAACCAATCGTCAGCGTCATTCTGTCTGTGGGCTGCACCCCCACAGTCTACTGATGATATCTGACAAGACTGTCTGCACATACAAATGAGATAAAACACACCTGGCTAAAAAGTTTGACAGTCTGTGAACTTCTATGAAAGGTGACCTACCCTGACCCGCTGCCACCTACTATCGCCACCTTCTTCCCAGCAGGCACTTCGAAGGACACTCCGTTTAAGACTTTCTGGCCCTCTAGGTATTCAAAATAGACGTCCTCAAAGCGGATGGTGGCCTCCTGCGGTGCGATGGTTAATGGCGACGCGAGATCCCTCTCCTAGAGAAAACCATCAGAGGGTTGAGACAAACGAAACAAGAAACGGTTGAGGAGATGGATACAGAACAGCCACTGGCAGACATGATGCAACGTTACTCCAACACCTCGTGAAAAGGGATAATGCTGGAGCACAGAGCCAGCATGGACTACATACAGACATTCATAGGAAATTCGAGAGGTTGTTTCAAAAGCGTCTGAATCTTCACACGCTGCATGGTGACTGAAGGATCAATAGGCGTGAAAATTTTCGGTACATAGTGAGCTGAGCCATAGTGCTGAGATGCAGCCAAGGTCAGCAGTGAATAAAGCGCTGTCCTTACCCTGAGAGTAAAAACCTGTTCTGCTCCGTTTCTATACTACCTAATAGCAACATAATCACCCACAATACACCTCAGCCAATTTACACAAATAACTCACAGTCCATTAGTATAAACAGATGATAATTTCACACAACCCCCCACCCCCTCCCCAGTATGGAATAAAAGCCAAAATCATTTATTTTTTATTTTGTGGAGCAGTTTCAAGTAAAGGGGAGTTTTAAATATTTACATCTACATAATAGGCCAATGTGTTGTATGTTTAAAAAAAAAAAAAAATCAGTAGACAGTAATGGCCTGCTGGGCAGTGCCATTCCACAGGGAATCACAATGGAGAGGAGTGTTACTGATGAGTGAAAAATAACTAGACAGATTAATTTCTCCTACTGTAATTATAGGCCAGAGCCGGGAATGGCATTCATATTGTTAGGCAGCAGGAGCACATTTGCACTTAAAAATGTGCTCTTCTGACGCAAGATGGGCTGTTGAGTCATGCAAAAAAAAGAAAAAGAAAAAAGAAGATAAATGCAATCAAAGGTCTGAAATGTCTCAAAAATTATTGACAGCTCTGACACTGATAAGGACTTATATGTTAAATATGAACTGTTATAGCAATTTTTAATGGTTGAGTTAAAGAACAGGATGATAGGATTTTGACTGTGTTTTTTAAGGTGAATTTACAAATAGATAATTCAACATTAATAACACCATGTAGTAAGGGTACTAGAACTGAAATGATTAGTTGACTAATTAATTAGTCCATTAGAATGTAAAGATTTGATGTTTTTCTTTATCACATGTGATAGTAAATCAAATATCTTTTTGGACTGCTGCTGTACTGGATTTATGTCAACTTGTACTGTGGGAAATGATCATTTCCACATTTTATAGGTAGACTGATCAATACTGGAAATCATCGTTAGTTGCAGGAATGCTTCAAGGGAATATAGCACTGTAGGCATGAGTCCACAGAGAAAAGGTGATTTTAGTTTACAAAAATGTCAATGAAACAGAGGGAAAAATGAACAGGAAGTTCAAGAACAGCTTTAAAGAGAACCCCTCCTTCCACAACCTAACCGCACTCATTCACTCACTGACCTTACGATACACAATAGTGAAAACTAACTGAATAAATCACCTAAAAATTTCCATTCAGAGTTCTGGTGCAATTTGTCATAATATCCCAATACAGCTCATGCTAATGCAACAAGCCATGTCATGCTCACCAAGAGGCCATAGATGAGGACTCACCTGAGTTACATCAAGACTTGTGTCTTGTGTTAAAATCTGGTACCACTTGTGCAATTATACAATTATGTGCTGTTGTTGGAGAAAAGGACTTCACAGGGTTTTTGGGTTTACTTTTGTTTTCAGATTTTATATTTGAACTCTAAATTCACTTTCTAGTGGGTGCAATAGGTTACCTTGATCTTGGTGTCGACGCTGAGCAGGGTGAAAAGAGTGTTCATGTCTATTAGGGCTTGCCTGGTCTCCCTGTACACTGTACCCAGGAAGTTGAGGGGGAGGGAGAGCTGGAAAAGGAGACCGTTCACCATCACCAGGTCTCCGACAGTCATTGTACCTACACGACAGCAACAGAACAACTTACAGAGCTACAGATAATGTAGCTCTATTGTATCATATATATGTGTCTTTGGATATAAGATCTAAAAAAAAAATAAAAAAAACCAACAACAAAACACTCAAACCATTTCTACTTTCAAGTTGTGAAAGCAAAGCTGGTTACAGTCTGATTCCATCTCCACCCACTGTGATTTCATTTTCTGCATCAAGGCTATTTTATTTCCTATTCATGCCACTTTATCATGCTTGCTGTGCTTTGTTCTCATTTAGTTCCTATTATCCAGTTCAGTCAGGGTTTGACTTGTCATTTTCATGTGTCCATTTTGTTTTGAGGTGTTCTTACTTCTAAATGCACAATTTTTCCCCATTGTGCTATAGACACAAATCGTGGGCATGAAGAAGTAAATACAGATCAGGTGATGTATATTGTACCTTTACACCTGGATGCTTTCAAATATTTTCATGGTTTATAGACCTTGACAGAATAATTTTTCAAAATTTGGAATATTCAATCACCTCACACACACACACACACACACACACACACACACACACAACCACTAAAAACTCCCAACTCACTCACCTGCTGCAATGCCCTTGCTGGCCAGCAACATGATGCCAGTGAGGCCGACACTGAAGATGGCACTTTGGCCAAAGTTGAGCAAGGCGAGCGAGGACGTGGTTTTTAAAGAGGATGACTCGTAGGTCTTCAGGTATCCATCGTACCTTTCAGCTTCATACTTCTCATTGTTGAAGTACTGCAGCCGAGATGAGAAGAAAAAAAAAATGAGAGAGCGAGGAGAGAAGGGAGCACAGGGCACAGAGACCGCAAAAGGATTCAAAAAAGCAAAGAAAGTTGAGAGAGAAAGAGGGAGAGACACAAAATATGGTTACGGTTAAAGGTTAAGGAAGCATGGAGAGCAGTGTCAGGCAGATAGACGCTTAAGCGCAGTCTGCCTCAAGGCTGCATTTGTTCTCAGTGACCGCTCTGGGCGTAGTCTGGGTCTCAGTTGGCCTCTAAAGCACTTTTTCATGTCTCTGTATCTTCATCTCCTCCCCACTGATCTTAAAGGATGAGGAAGACGAAAGAACAAAATCCAGATCCTGCATCGCAGAGCAGACTCTGGATCTGAAGCTTTGGCAGAGGATGAGGATTATGGTAATGGAACGGTTCAGAAAATAACCTATAAGTCATCACTTAAACATCACTAGCAAGTTAAACAACAATTAGAGTAGTCATCATTGGCACCGTTGTCAGCCTCTGTATTTACATCTGCAGCAGCTTACACAGACACCTACCAACAGAGCACCGATAGCTCTTAAGTGTTTCACCACACAAGCAGCACTAATTTTGATTAAGACATAGAGCAATCATTTGGAGAAAAAAAAAAGCCTCATGAATCAGCCACAAGCACACATCCTAAATTCAGAACTTAAAACTACAGCATGATCATAACAATGACCCTCCTCAACTCTGCTGCCAATTACCTAATATTGCTGTTTATTTAGTTTGCACTATTGTTTCTCTGCTCTGGTTAAGTGGGCGATTTGCCTCTCTAGCTAACGGCAGTGGTGCTGCGCTGCTAAAGACCTGCCACTGATTTGCATATAGGGAAATGCAGGAAATCAGAGAGAGAGGGAGAAGAAAGTAGCACATGGAGGACAAACAGAAGCAGTGCAAGGCACCGTGTTAAGGTTCTCATCCAGCCCTTTGTGAAAGTGGAACGGATTTCTGAGTGGGCGGAGATCTAATTACATATGCACACTCACAGCTCACAGTGATGCTAAATCCGGCCGCATTGGCACAGATGACACAAAATAACACAGAACAAAACGTTAAGGAAAACAGGACGCAAAATAATACAGCAAAGAAAATAACACGGGGACCAAAATATATATGTGAACAGCCAACAAAGCCCCGAAACTAGATGGGGGATTATGTTTGTATGAGTTCTACGTACAATGAGGTTACCTAGAAAGAGGCTTACAACGATCAAAAGATGAAGATGCATGATAACCACAACACTGGGAAAAGTATAAAGCAAAGTATGAGTGTCTGGTGATCAATGTCTCACTGTTTGCAGCGACTGGAATGAAGATGGTGCAAAAAAAAGGGGCTAATTTTAATCTAAAGGAGAAGAAAAAAACATGAGCAAACTAAAAACCCAGGAAATTATGTTGGTCAGATGTGTTTGTGAATGGGTAAGCATAGACCTGAACAGATTATATGATCAGTTGATCAATTTTCAATATCAATTTTGATAATAGGCAAGTAATTTTCAACCCTTGTCTAATTCCATCCTTTTTTCTCTCTTTTGGGATAGTGAACTGAATATCTTATGGTTTTGGTATGTTGGTCGGACAAAATAAGCAATTGTAAGACTTCACGTTGAGCTTTAGGAATTTGTGGTGACATTTTACGGTCAATTAACGGAGAAAATAATTGCTAGATATATCGATAATCAAATAATCCTTAGTTGTAGCTATATTACTAGCATGATAATTATCAGTATTATCTCAACGTACAACAAAGTATTTACTCAAGAATCACAAATCAAACATTAAAGTCATGCTGAGGTTTCCAGCATTTTACTAGAATACATGCTTTTATATATATATTTAAATTGTGGTAAAAAACTGTCATCTCTAAGAATTTCATCTCAATACAATTACAGAGAGAGAATAATATATAACTGAACAGCTCTCATTGGTTTAGATCAATACCTCAGTTCTAAGGGCTAAGAGATACATTTGCAATCGTTTTATTAGCTATGAAGTTCATCCTTGTTGATGGGTAACAGTTAAATACCCAAACATCAACCTTATTGTCTACTGACTATAACAATAACCATATATAGCATATGACCATTTTAAATTTCACAGAATACTGAATCACCGCATAACTAAAAGGTTCCACTGCATTCCCGACCTGGGTGTGTGGGCTTATGTTGGTGTGACACTGTTCTGTAATAACCGGGGGAATGTGATAACCTTTAAGTAAACCTGTAGCAGAGAATGGCACTGGCTTTCACCCTTTCAGCAGTAAATTCCACTCCTCTCACTCAGAAAGATAAACTTGACTTTAGAGTTTAACTTGTTCTTGTGATGACTTGGAGGATGTGCGTGAAAGTGTGGAGAGTCAGGGAAAGACCGAGAGCGACAGAGACCGAGAGAGACAGAGACAGAGAGAGACAGAGAGAAATTCACATCAATGTGCCTGAACAGAAGAAAAGTCTAGAAAGGAGGAAATAAAAAGAGAAGGACTGTTCGAAAGGCTGAAAGAGTGGTGTATTGTGTGGTTGTGTGGGGGGCTGGATCTCACCTTAACGGTCTCATAGTTAAGGAGGGAGTCGATCGCTGCGTTTCCGGCTTCATTGTCTGCTTTGTTCATTTCTATCCGGAAACGAGTCCTGCGTGCAGAGGCACAATCACGTAAGCACTTTCTGATGCACATATTTCAGCCTATAAGTGAACGTTAAAACTGTCAGCACAGACAGCCACAGAGCTATTTACTGAATATTTTTCAAGAGATAACAATCGTAAGCAATAAAACAACCTGTTAAACTACAGACAGAGACAGGACTAGCACAAAAATCCTCATTGTTACCTCCACTGAGTGAGGAGAATGGTGAAGAGGGTGTATGCTGATAAGGTACCCAAGGCCACTGCTGCAAACTGTCCGCCACACTTGTAATACTGCAAAAGAGAAAAAGCAGAGTCAAAACAAAGGATCTTTTACATGCTGTGACTCAACGGCGTTGTGATAAAAAGTCAAGCAACCACATCAGAACACCAGAGCCCAGCGTTGGCGTCACAGGGCAGTTTTTGAGAACATACTGTTTTTGACCATTCCTCTATGAAATTGAGTGTTACAAATGGAGGGGAAACTACAAGAACTAATCGTGCTAATGCTTTAGCTATTTGGGCAATGGAGTCTGCCCTCATTACAGGGAAGCTGACATTATTGTCCAACGTGGAATAATAGCATGAAGCTATAGACATTCTTTCAGTGGTGGCCAAGGAGGGGGGCATCTGTTCAGGGCATACTCCATGGGAGGACATTAAGCTGCTACAAAGCTTTGAGATTCATCATTGACACTAACGGGCTCTGTGTTACCACCAAAAGTTTATGGGGATTCATATTCCATTTAGAATGTAAATGAGACAATATCCCCGAAGTTAATTTCCGGACAATCTGCTGCGAAGAGTGTCAAGGTGATGGAAGGTCCTGAGCTAGCAAGGACTGAAACAGTAACAGCAACTACAAATACAAGAAAATAGTAATCACTGTTGTTGGTACTATCCTAAGATTGAGGAGTTATGATTACCATCATTAGTATCTGCATGGATGTCACCACAAGACTCACCAAAATAGCACTGACGAGGCCCATCTCGAAGACAGTGGGTCCTAGGTTGAAGACGAGTGCACTGAGTACAAATGAGATGCCCCGTGTGCCGCGGTCAATGGCCTTGGACAGCGCTCCTGTCTGGCGGCTGAGATGGAAACCCAGATCCAGATTATGCAAGTGGAGGAAGACGTTCTTGGCGATGCGTCGGATGGAGCTCTGGGCCACCTTGCCGAACACAGTGTTCCTCAGCTCGTTGAAGAGGGCTGCACAAGCCCGTGACACGCCATCTGGGATAGCAGAGAGAGACGAAGAGTTTAGCACACCTGCTGTGAAAAGCTGGGAGATTCACACAGCGGGGCTCTGCACTATCAAGTCAAAATATATCCTTAATCCAAAACACTGTTAGGTCGCTCTAAAGTGATTTGAGTCAGCAAAACAAGAATCGGACCCTACCTTTCCTGTCTTGTAAGATGTAACATCGTACTGAGACAGATGAGAGTAGACAGCATTGAGGCTTGTCAACTGCTCTAAAGTAAAGGCTTGTATGAGGTGGCGGGACAGGGTTTTCACATCATCGTCGCAAGCACTGCAGTGCTACAGCAGCCGGCTCCCCAAACCTCTGTAATTACAAAGCAGGATGAGGTCTGAAACCTCACTACTACGACAGGCCAGCACACTGCAGGCTGAGGGAAGGGAGGGTATCTACACAAGTGTGCGTGGCAGGCAGCAGGCTACATGTGTGAGCAGAATACCAGAATAGGGGGAGGAGGTTTTAATAAGAGTGTCGTGGAAAGATGTGACTAGGTGTTGTAGATGAACTGGCTTAATTTCACCACTATCTGAGTCTAGACTTTCTCTAGCTGATCTGTATAATCAGTCTTTCTCTAAAGGTATATTTATTGCTGCATTTGTTTTTTTTTGGGGGGGGGGGGGGGGGTGCTACCTGATATACAGCAAAAACCAAAGCAGTTTCAGTTAAAAAAATAAAAATCACCCAGGAAAGGACAATTGTTTGATCCCTTACACTCCTCATGAAATGTTGTATAAGCAGATGGCTAGCATGACTGTCAGAAATTAATATTAGTCTGTGTATAAATGACATGTGGCCTTCATGTGGAGACTTCACCGAGTTGGGTGAATACACGACTTGTCTGCTGAGACCAAAGTCAGGGTAATAATCGCTCTGTCTGCCGGTCTTCATGGGGCTGTAATGTGGCGTTAAATAGGAATGCTCATCTAATGAACAATGTGTCCACATCTGACAAGGTAGGATGAGCACTGTGCAACCTTTTCAGCCAAATTACACCTGTCACCACAGACTCGAAGTACCGGGCCCCGAGTGTCGCAATGAGGGAACAAAAAACGACAAAAAAATAAATCCTTTCTTTAAGAGCATGCCCTTCATTCTTCCTCGTCATCTTAATTCGTCCTGTCTGGAGTCCTGTTCATGTGCTCCAATTATTCAACAGGCAGCATTAGTGTGCAAGACCTAAGTGGGCTCATTATATTAAGTGGCTAGAGGGCTAAATGTACATTGCACCCAAGCTGATCTCACTCAAGGCCGGAGTGACTTGCAGTGGGTGTCGGGTTCACAATATTTATTTATTCTTGCTTTTCATAAGCAACTCAGAGAAAACACACTCTAATCAAGAAAGAACTTCACATTCGCGCTTCATGTCACCCCGACCCCTCTTGCAGGGCCCATTTGGACAAAAAGATGAAATAAGGGCGCCACTCTGGAGCGATGGAGTGAAAAAAATATCACTGGCCTTTGCTTAACACTAAAAGATATCCAAACCACTTTCAAAAGGACATTAGCAATTTCTTCCCCACTGCTCTAGAAATATATCCAGCTCTGTTTGCCTTGGGAGCACACAGGTATCAAACTGAAAAGTCATCAGTGCTCACGAGACACCCGTGTGGATTGTTAAAAGAGAACTCCGACGCAGGACGGAGCACATAATGTAAATAATGTGAGGCAGAGGAAGAGGTTGCAGAGTGGGATTGAAATGAATGTGTTGGGAAAGGTCAGCCTGTAGATAATAGGCAGTCCCACAGTCCCCTCTGATGAGCGCGGCACCTGCCAGTGCAATACAAGTCTGGGACTCACAGCCAATCAGCACGGCCGTTGCCATGGTAGCCACAGTGCTTGGCGCGTCATTCAGGTTCAGCATGTGTCCCGACATCTGGTTAAGCTCGTCCACTGCATACTTAAACATGAAGGGCACCATCACATTGGTGATCTGGGAAGGCAAAGAGGGAGGGAGGAAACATTCAGAGAGGAGGAGAAAACAAGAGAGGGGACAGAGTTGCAAACAGCCTATTAAACCGACATATGCTCAATCTAGTCCAGTGCCATTCTTCTAGTCTTCTAGAGTGCCTCTCTTTTTATATATGTGCACGCCATGTGGTTAGGAAGATGGATTTCAGTTATTGTTAGGCAGTAAATCCAACCAATTCATGTGCATTTGAAGATAACATATGTCTGTATGTATGCATGATGTGTGCGTGTGTGTATTCTTGGCTGGTGAGGTGGCTGGTGCTTCCTGCTAATGGAATTGAAATGGTTATTAGTGCTAATTAAAAGCACAGGGACAGCTGTGTGACTCAGGCTAGGCGGTCCGCTGTGCATTAGGCCAGCCAGAGAACACAGCAGCACACCGCAGAGCATTTTCATTTGAAACCCATTTCATTTGAACCTCTCAACCCTAACACAGGGGAGGGCTTCTTTTTATTTGGTCTTTCTTCCTTTACTCCTGTCAAATTCTGCATGATGCATAATTTTGATAAAAATAACAATTTTCTAAGAAAAAAACCCCAACTCATGTTGACCCTGTGATGTGAAGTAAAAGGACACAGGATAATGCACCATTTATATTGCAAACGCTACATCTCCAGGGTTCTTGCTGTAAACACTTGAGTATTATGCTTAGATAATAGAAGGCCTTCGAGTCCCCCAAGGAAAAACAATATCTTTGCTACCAAGACAACAGAACGTGACACAAAAATAGCCCGGGCCTATTATTACAGGGTCAAAATGAGTCCTCAATTTTACCACTAATACATGATAAGGTTGGACGTGCTCTTTTAATCCATTAACGGCCAACTGGAGGTTAAATCAACAACATATCAACCTGTAACTGGCAATATGGCATCTCATTTTAGAGATACTGTCTAACATGGTGAAGAACAGGCTTCAGGTTATAAAGAATTAGCTTAAGCTTATACATAGTATGACACACGAACTTGCACACAGACACAGAAGGCTTTATTTGAGGCCAGCAAAAACAAGCGCTTCTATATAATCAGTTATTTGAAATGAAAATGTCACCGATATTGTGGAGTGCATAGGTGTGATGCGCTGTAACCACACAATTATTCATTTGATTTAAAAATTGCCTCCACACTGCTGGGGGTTTCAGTTCAAACAGACAAACTGGAGAAATCGAGGCTAACTCCAGCCAAGCAGGAAAATAGGAGGAGAAGATTGGATTGCACGTGTGTGTCCACACAGCCGTGCTGAGCAGCAGCAATGCATGCTTATTTAGGAGCTGTGAATTTGTGATTGTTTTCCAGGGTGTAAATTAGAAACCATCAACAAAAGGAAGACGAAATACATCATGCACTGATTGATGCTTGCAATTAATTATTTAAAAAGTGGGATATGGTTAGTTTTACACAGGATCTTACACAGTATAAAATTCTGCTACACTGTACTGTCTAGTCTAACACTTAAACAACGACGTCATTATCAAAATGATCAACCTTTTAAAGATCAACAAGCTGACGTAAGCAGTTTGTAAAGCCACTAGCCACAAGCCATTAGTTGATCCTCAAAGACTCAACTGCCGGCGCAGCAGTTCAGAAACCATCATGTGTGAGCAATGACAACAAACTAAATGAAATGTTCAACCTTGCTGGTTCCTCTTTAACTAGAAACACTGGCTACTGTTGTCCATTGCTTTTGTCGCTAGAAGCAGAATCTTCAGACCTTTTCCGAGCAGTGATTACAAATCCCAACCTACCAGAATAAATTGTCATTTGACATAGCAAGACTTATTTTCCATAGTCATTTGGGAAGGTAAGTGTTTAAATTGTTTACGATTAGAAATAACAGACATAGAATAACATTGCATAGAATAACATAGAAATAACACGTAAACTTTTAAGCAAATATTGGAAGACCAGATGCCCGATGTATGTCCTGGTGTGGTTAGTGGATGCCTTAAATGTACAATCCAGGATTAATTTTCGAACAACATCCACTGTGAGAGAGATTTGTGTTACCCATCACTTTGGTAAAACTGCTGTGTTTTTAGTATATTGCTGATATATGATGTATGGATAGTTTATAAGTTGTGCAGCCATATGTTCATGTTTGGGTTGAGTTATATTTGTAATTTTAGCAACAACGCATAGTGCAGTAGAGACAGACCAGCACCAATGGCAACATGGAGCCACGTGATTAGCTATTAAAGGCAGATCACTTTTTTTGCTCTGTAATTGGTAAGTGAGTTGTTATTAGTGTAGCTAAGTTTGTGTTAATGTGCACACAATGTGCATGTGATCATGCCACCTATGCCAATTCTACCTCAGCCTTTGTTACATGGAAAATAATGTAACTCTTATTTTGTTCTATACACTGGCCTCAACATACAGTCTCTGTAAATAATGTTAGTGGTGACATTGATAGTCAAATGCCTATCTTTTGCATTCAGAGTAATGTAAATTCTATGTACATAGATACACAGTGGCCTGTCTTCATTGTGTAATTATACTCATGCACCAATCTATCAGCTGGGAACTGGAATAGGCCGGTTTTCAGCTTAATTGGCCATGACAGGTGACCGAGATTACTGTAGTTGGTGAGTAAACACTAAAGTAAGGGGAGAATTAAGTAGAATTAAAATGGTGAGATTAGAAATAACATCAGCTACTAGAAATTGGCAGTCTTTCAACTAAAATATAAAGTTCTGTTAGATTTTATTCACACAAAAGCTCTGTCTAGTAGCCTAACCTGGAGCACTTTTAAATTTGTCTGGGTGTCTGGGTGAGAGAAGGTCCTGTCACCTGCTGCAGTTTGGGGAAAATTAAAGTTATTTAATAGTCAGTGTTTTATAATGGACATACAGTTGAATGGATCCCAGTCAGAAAAGCCAATGGTAATGGGGATCCTGATGAAGAGAAATTTACACTAAAGAAAAGTTACAAAAATGTTTGTGTATGCTGTCAGCTTAAATCGGAATGGGCAGGTCAGACCTTCAACAAAAATTAATAGGAATCGGCCAGGACAAATGCTATCGGTGCTTCTCTACTGTTAATGTACATTCTTTTTTATTTGCTTTTATTTTTGAACTATATCCAACTTAACAATAACAACAACTCTCAGCTGTTGGACCACATGACCAGGCTTTTTTTTCTCCATATATAAATCCAGTCTTCCAACAGCTGTGCCAAACCACAATGACAAATAATAAAACCAGCCATGATGTTTGCAGATCCTAGTAGTGCACTCTTATGGTGTGAAACAGGTTTTATATAAACAGGAAACTTGTTATGCCTACTCAAACGTTTTAAACAGTGGCAGTGTTTCTTCATTCCATACACTTGCTTCAGAGATGGTATGAACTCCTCATCAAGTTTCTTTATTGAATATTACTCGTCCGTTTTCTCACCATAAATACATGTAGGCAGCAGTCTGATCCCATAATCTGAACAGTCAGGTGCAGAAGTCCTTTGTGACCGTCACTCACTTGTTGTGCAAACGACAGGGGCTATAACCGAGCTAACAATGGATGGCACTTAGGCCGAAATAGATTTTGTTATTGTGGTTACTTAAATGTAATTTATGGTGCTGTTAGATTGCTGCTAGTGTGACCTGTAAATAACGGTGTGTGCTTCCCTTTTTCTGGCCTTGTTGTAGCTGTTTTAATTAGGGCCCGAGCACGACCGTGCGAGGTCCCTATTGAATCTGCTCGGATTATTATTATTTATTTTTTTTTTCTGCGAATTGAGCTAGGCCCAAATGACATTGGCCTTAAAAGTAGGCCCAAATGACATGGCCTAAACATACTCGAAAACTCACCAAAATTTGCAAACATGTCAGAACCGGTGAAAAATTTCGTATTCTACAAGTTTCGCACATGGGCGTGGCAAAATGACTCGCTAGCGCCACCTTGAAAATTGGAAATGATTAGCCCCTCGTTCACGTTCAACCTACATGTACGAAATTTTCTGGGGACATGTATCGTATCAAGACGCACAAAAAAGCCTCAAGAACCCATAGCCTAAAGTCAACAGGAAGTCGGCCATTTTGAATTTTATGGCCATTTTTGGATGATTTACACACTTCGTACTTTAACGAACTCCTCCTAGGGATTTAGTCCGACCGACCTCAAATTTGTGCTGTGCCTTCTAAAGGCATTGAAGATGAAAAGTTGTGCTATTTGCAAGTTTTCGTCAATGGGCGTGTCCGTGGCGTCGAAAGATCAGCTCGCCATGACACGGAAGTTGTCGTAACTTCAGTGTACATGCTCACATCTGGACCAAACTGTACATGTAGGATGAGAGTCCCGCCCTGAACACATGTACATGCTCACATTCACAGACAGTCATAGCGCCACCTGCTGGCAACAGGAAGTGACTTTTAACGAAGCAGCCCCCGCCGCACGTTTCACCTACGTGCACGAATTTTCTGTGGTACGTGTATCTTGTCCAGACGCACAAAAAAGCCTCTTGGAGCCATAGCCTAAAATCAAGAGGAAGTCGGCCATTTTGAATTTTACGTCAAATTTTGGATGATTTACACACTTCGTACTTTAACGAACTCCTCCTAGGGATTTAGTCCGACCGACCTCAAATTTGTGCTGTGCCTTCTAAAGGCATTGAAGATGAAAAGTTGTGCTATTTGCAAGTTTTCGTCAATGGGCGTGTCCGTGGCGTGGCGTCAAAGATCAGCTCTTCGCCATGACACGGAAGTTGTCGTAACTTCAGTGTACATGCTCACATCTGGACCAAACTGTACATGTAGGATGAGAGTCCCGCCCTGAACACATGTACATGCTGACATTCACAGACAGTCATAGCGCCACCTGCTGGCAACAGGAAGTGACTTTTAACGAAGCAGCCCCCGCCGCACTTTTTACCTACGTGCACGAATTTTCTGTGGTACGTGTATCTTGTCCAGATGCACAAAAAAGCCTCTTGGAGCGATGCCCTAAAACCAACAGGAAGTCGGCCATTTTGAATTTTACGTCAAATTTTGGATGATTTACACACTTCGTACTTTAACGAACTCCTCCTAGGGATTTAGTCCGACCGACTTCAAATTTGTGCTGTGCCTTCTAAAGGCATTGAATATGAAAAGTTGTGCTATTTGCGAGTTTTCGTCAATGGGTGTGTCCGTGGCGTGGCGTCAGAGATCAAGTCTTCGCCATGACACAGGAAGTTGTTGTAACTTCAGTGTACATGCTCACATCTGAACCAAACTTTTCGTGCTTGATAACTCTCCCACCCCGCTATGGAGGACCGATCCTGACACAGTCAGAAATAAATACAGAAATAAATAAATGCTCAATAAATAAATAAGCATCCAATTAAATACACAAAAAAATTAAGTAAATAAATAAATGTAGGTAGTAATTAAATTATACAAGGAGACATAAATGTATATATTTTAATTAGTGCCTTTACTTATTCACCTTTGTTATAATTACCTTATTTGTTTATTCAACTTTATTTATTACTAATTTTTTTAATGTATTTATTTATGTGTGTGTTTTAATATTTTTGTCTGTTTTATTCTTCCTTTGTATTTATTTACCTTATTTATTTTCACCCATGGTATTTATTTCTGCCTGTCTTAAATTTTTGTATGCATTTCTGCCTCATTATGCAAATGAGGAGGGGCTGTGTCTCAAGGGGTCATCTTCTCTGCTATTGGTGGACCAGTCAGACAGGAGAGCTCCTACTCTGCCTGCAGACATAAACGATCTTGCCCCTCACACAGTCAGATGGCTTCCTTCAGTGCGCTGAGGTGTTTAACAACTCTGAAGACAATACTACCAGCAATGTCTTCCTTCTCTTTTCACGTAGAAGCACCGACAGACAGTGCTTTCAGTTTGCTGCATGCATGGACACAGAACTGCAGTATAGGGAGAAGCACACGGTCAGCTGGCTGCAGCTAAATCTGGAGTGCACTCGTATTCAATTCTGTATGGTAAATTCAGTTTTAACGGAGCAGAGCGAGCTGACAGGCAGAGTTAGAGACTTTTTCTGTCTGTTTCTCTCTTTACAAAGACGCATGTTGCAGTCAGAGTCTTCTCTGAGATGCGAGCACGACATACAACACAATTTATCAAATTACACAACGGATATACAGTATGAAAATAAGATTGATTGGATTATACTCACAGGAAGTATAAAACCTCTTACATGGGTCTATTAAAAGTAAAGTAACACAAAAATGTCAGGGAAATTACTTTACTTAGATTTAAGTACTGCAGTTGTACATTTGAAATACCTTCCTACCTTTCTGATAGGAAGCCTTCTTGAGGTGGTATAAAACATTTCTTCTTATATTCTGATTTGAGTTGTGGACAACTATGACCACATGAATTAAAAAAACATTTCACTGCCCAAGTCAGCTATAACACAAGTCTTGATCATCAGACTACATGCTGTACAGTATTTGTGGACAGATTTTGTCCCAGGATTTCTTATGCATTTCTTCTTCTTCGTTGCATGATTTAGAATAATAAGGTGAGAAATGGGTCTATTCTGAGTTCATCCTGCACTGCAGCAGCTAATAAAGTCCATTTAATCCCCAAAACGCTTTTCTTTTAGGCAGGCTGGAGCAGAAAACAACTCACCTTTCTCAAGTTGTACAGTAATGTCACATGTGTATGAAGGTGGATCAAACAAGCTAATCTTAAATGTCAAAGTAGAGAGGAGCCTAGTAGGCCTATTTATTTTCATTCATTACACAATATGAATAAGCTATGCAGACAGTTGTAAAGAAAGAACATCTTTTTCTTCTGTTCTCTACTTGTTATAGTTACACAGTATTAGGGGTGTGGGCTGTATTAAAAGTATCCACTGTTCTCCCATGCTCTAACACACAGTAACGATGAAATGTGTGCTGTTCTCACATTCTTCCTCTGTATGTACACATAAACAACAAGGCAGGGAAATATAAAAGGAATTTATTTTATTGTTTGGGTACATTATTGTTCAGTGTACATGTTCACATCTGAAACAAACTTTACGTGCTTGATAACTCTCCCACCCCGCAGACATCTACACGTCAATACCGATTTATATTCATAGCGGCAAGTGCTATGTAGCTCCACATAGGGGACACAGGAAGTGACATATAGCACATTCATGCGGCGTCGGAAACGCGTAGGAAATTCACAGCCGCACCGGCAGAACTCCAGAATATGCAACTCGGCCGGCTCACGCGCGGACGCGCTTACAAGTGCGAGGGCCCGCCCAACGCTGCTTGCAGCTTTAATTTTTAATATTCTTGATTAAACAGTATTTTAATATTAGAATGTTCTTTTCAACCTTTCAACTTGAAGTTGTATCTGAAAGAAACCGGTCCTAATGTAATCAGGGAGGACATTAGCTATTGTTAGAAAGTTTAACTTTTGGTTGGAAGAAATCAACAAAGCAGAAAGCAGTTAAGGCTCAGTCTCACCAAGGACAAATATTAAACAGTGACTGGAGCCTCTTGCTCAATATTTAGTGGCTGAACTTTGAATAAAAATATCTTCAGTTTGGGGTATGCATAAATAACACTACTTGGCGCCAATCAAATTAGCTTAATATGACAAAAAATAACAAAAAAGTAAAAAAAGAAAAGAACACCACTTTAATACCCATGACAGTGCCGTAAACTTACCTTGGCTCCAGCGAGTAGACCCAGAGAGATGGCAACACGAGCCCGCAGGTCAGGTCTATTCTGCGGCCACACATAAGACAGCATGGCAGACAGGATCTGGGCTGAATTCACCTCCTTCAGCTGTGGAGAACAAAACAAAAGCTAAGCCTCCTCTTAGATCACAGTACATTTAGTTTGATAAACAAGTCTGCCCTGAATGATGGTTACTGGTCAAATGGGTAATACAGTGCTATTATAACTACAATGTTAACTTTCTAACCTACCTCATGTTTGACAATATTGGCAACTAACTAACTATCAAAATAAGCTAAAGATGGCTCTGGGCAGACACATGGAACATCAAATGTCAATGGGGGTCCCTTGAGAGATCTGAGAGCAGCAATGACAGCAGAGTCTCCAGGTGGACTTCAGGATCCAGTCTGACACTACAAGTCCCAGGAGACACCTGGGCTGTCATCCGCGCTGAGTTTGAGATCGCACTGGTGCCAACATGGCTGTTTACCCACACTCCACCACACACCTGCCACAGCTACAGGCCAAAGAATATGCAGTAATTCCTCTAATCCACTCAATATGGTGGCAGTGTTGTACAGCAGCGATGGCAGCACCTCGAAGCATATTACAGTGAAATCGTGCCCAACACCTGCCTTTAATTAAATACAATCAAGCAATATGTGACACTGCGGAGAGAGGATTAGCATTAACAGTTGAATGCTCTACTAAGGTCCTTGTACCATATGTGGAGGAGACCAGTTAATGTATATTAATAAAAGTTGGTTAGCCTAACTTTATTACAGTTCTTTTTGTTATATCTACAATTAATTCAAGTCTGACTCAGCTTAAACTCTTTCACACTGTAAAGACTGAGTAAAGACTGTTACGTTAATATACTAAACATTTCTATTGTAAAAAGTTTATTTAGTTAACAAATAGACTTAAATGTTTTGGTACAACCCATGTATCTTTGGCATGTAAAATGCTGCATACATTGATCATGTGAAGACAAAGCAATCCCCACTATAGAGCTTAAAAGGTTAACTTTGGTATTTTTCAATGTGGACCTTATTCTCCCATGTTTGTGTCTATATGACTAACTGGGACAACATTTTTTGAAATTGGTCCAGTATTGAGCAACCACACTGCAGTCAGAGGCAGTGAAACAGGGCTGCAAAATAAGTACGTCCACTAAAGTGTCTGTTTTTGCCATTGACAGGTTCAGATTGTTGTTATAGTCAGTAAGATTTTCCCCACCATTATAAGACTTGGGGCACAACGCCTACATTTTTTCACAGCACCTAAGCCAAATATACAGAAAAGAACAATGCTGAGACACGTATTTGTGCATACGTGCGCACACACAGAGCGAACCAGGTGAAGTGAAGATAATGTGTTACTTGAGGCTAATAGGTGTTTTTTCTGATGACTGTATAATTCCAGCCAGAAAGTTTCAAAGAATAGGTCAAAACACTCCACAGTGTGGGAACATTTTGGGTTTAAGCTGAATGAGAGGACATCCCATTAATGTGAACGAGCCGGTATGTCGACTTGTTTATAAATAGTGGCAACAAAAAGCAGCAATACAGCTACCTGTGCTTAATGTTTAATTTTAATTTAATGCAATTATCAAGAGCCGTAGAGTCTATTTTCCTTTTTGTTCTGTGGTTTTCTTTTATTTATGATTTATTTATTTAGGATATTTTAATTTTTTCCCCTATTCCCATTCCAATGTCTGAATATTCTTCTGAATAAAAAGCTCTTTGAATTATCATTATGTGAGTGGCATAAAATAGTCTTAAAATGACAATAATATATTTTATTGCAATTATTTCTATCTTATTTATCTTACTAAAAGTAGTTATCATGACAGGCGTAACATTGAGCCTTAAAAACAGCTGCACAAAAAGTTTCAGTGACCAAAGACTAAAGGAAGGTACTGCACTTACCACATTTTTTGGATCTGAAGTTAATCTTCCTCCTGCATTTCCGTGCCAACATGTTTTTTTGTCTGTAATCTGCAAATGCTGCAGAAACAACATAACTTGTTGTTATTCTATGTTTGATTTTGACAACAGACACTGATTCTCGATAATGTCACAAATATACTTACTTTTGCTGCCTCCAAAATCCGGCGACTGTTTTCGGTCCTGCTTGTACTCCATGTAGCTGTTCGTAGGTGTGGAGGGCAACTCAGCTGAAACATAAACAACTTATTTGACTGATGTTTCTAATTTCTGCTGATTCACTTTTATGAATATTTTAATATTAAGAAACACCGACACCCAATAAGAAACGAAGGAAAGAAAAAAAGGTAAAATGAACTGCAAAACATATTTAACTCCAACCATGGTGCAAAGTTAGTGCCGGCCTCATGCTGGTAAAATTACTTCTCTCACCAGCCAAAAAAAACAATGTTAATTTTGCACCCAATACAAAAAACAAAACACTAAACCTTTTCTTCTCAGTGTGCTTTCACAAAAATGCTCATAGTTGAAGGCCAGAGCTTAAAGGTTGTGCAAGGGTCTGGGACATACTAAACAAATATATGGTAAGAGGAGAAGCTTATGTAAGTGGTGGGATAGCTGTTATTTTCACCATGTATATTTCTCACTAATATAATTTACTTTAACTGAAATAATACAAGGTGAGAACATTTCAGAGCTTGTGACATGTTGTTTCTTTGACATTGCCTTTTATGACACTTCATTTAGGCCTACTATGCCTATTTGAAAACAGAAGCTATATTGTGGGTGGTTTACGGCATACTGAGCTTAAACTTACCCTGTGTTGCACCTACATGTATACCAACACTCCTACAAAAATACATATCTTTACCAGTGATATGAGTGGATTATTTTATCTCCTTGATGACACTATATCAGTGCAGCCCATCCTCTTGTCTATGATGACCTAACACATTACATAAATAAATAATGTAAACTATACATTTGAGTATAAAAGTATAATTTGTTATGAGACAGGAATTATACATATTTACATATAACAATGTGTTTCAAATTACTTCATTCATTAATTGTAAATGTGTGGTTTGCTTGTGAACTGAGCTTAAAACTCAAACTGGACTAAAATTCAGGGTTCTTGCACCATTTTAAAAGTCAAATTTAACGCTTTTTAAGACCTCAAGAAATATAAATTTAAGACCTCAAATTTTGAAACAATTTCTTTGATAGAAAACAGACTCGCGTTTGATCTCTTAATGAACGACGCAATGCCATATTGCCACTGTGATCCGATCAGCAAAACGACCTCTGGATGTGGTCAGGGACACCATGACCACATGGATGCAAATGTGTTGTCTATCCACATACAACAACTACTTGGGTGGAAATATGTACCGCTCACAGTCTTCTGCAAATAAAATCCAAAAGTCTGACAGCGCAGACAGGTGCCTGAACAGTGTTCATTCAGTGTTGTGCATAAACATGCTCAAACATTGTAAATTATTGATCTTGCTGATGTTTTTGGTGAACCTATCGTGTCCGTTTGTGAATGTGAACTAGGGGGCAATATAACAATAATGTTAATTATTGTGACACAATCTTCCTCAGTAACAATATACAAATGTTCAATAAATATTTGATTTAAATCATTTGAATCACAAACAAATTAGCACTTTCTTTTCTATTAAGATATTTATTTTGTTGAGGAAAAGGGACTAAAAAAAGATTTGACTTAATTTTTCTCATGCATATTTGTTGTTTTGAATGTTCTACCTCAGCTCTGTGAAGTGATACACTGTTTGATACCAGGCTGCTTTTTGGCATCAAGTGTTTGTCATGTTCTGACTATAAAGAAACGTTTAAAAGCACAATTAACCATCTGGTTTCTTCAGGAGCAAAAATCAAGCTTTAAACTTATAATAATAAAAATAATGATTTTACTATTTTTGTCCATATCGCCCCGCCCATACTCATACACTGCTGTGTTAAACTCAATATAAACTACTAAATAACAGAAAAGAGTAACTTACACATTATAACGGAAAGGTAGCAAGAAAACGATGTCGGACCGAACTTAAGTTTCACTTTCACTTTCCGGCCGATTTAATACACAAGCGCACCGCTAAAGAGAGGTAAATAATCCATGGAGGAAAACAAATCACGGTGAAAGACACACTTTAGAAAGTTATTTTAACCTGTAGTTATAGATAATTTTTTGGACCGGCGCAAATGAGAGGAGGACGTGATGTAGGCTACAGTTGTTTGAACTAGACAGAACGATAAGAACAATCCTCCTCCAACCACTTTAACTTGTGTCTCCCAATCTTGCAGCCACGACTGACGATAATATGACGTCTGCAGCTAACGTAAATCAACGAAAATCATACAAATTTAAGGAGCCGCGGGAACCCTGAAATTGATAACCGTTTGTTGGGCTAGCTTTTTTTCTCTAGACAAAATACACTCAGTTGCCAGTTTACCAGGTACACCTAGCTAAAACTAATGTCATGACTTCATTGATAAAAGTAGGGAGGACAAAATATTTGTAACACTATAACCAAAAACAATTTAACGTCCACCCCCCCAAAACAACTGTTACAGCATTTAAAATTACCATATATTTAAATCAACACCACCAAATCAATCAGTTTCAACAAAAGCTGAACATTATAACCCTCTTAAGGTAGGATGTATGTCAGGGCTGCTTCATTAGACTAACTTATTATTACATCAGTTTTAGCAAGATGTAACGTTACACAGAATAATGCTCATTTATATATCTGTAACGTTGTTCTTCCATTCCATATTTATTATATTTCTACATTTATTTATGACAACTGTATGTTTGTCTACGTGTAGCACCTGATCACCACAGCAAATTCCTCGTATGTGTAAAACACTACTTGGAAATAAAGCTCCTTCTGATTCTGATAAACTGGCAGCTGTTTAAGAGTAGAGTCAAATAATCAGTAACAAACTGGTAACACGTGATCACAGTCACATCAGCAGTTAAATGTCCTGGGTGGGACAAACAGTCTTATCTAACATTTACTGTCAGTCGGCACTTTTAACACGTGACTGAGACCACTGGCATGCTAACGTACAGCGATAAAAAGTGACTTATTATTTAGTTGACAGTGGGACTATAATCCGTTCACTTAGCATACACGGTCAAATCTAAGGGAATGATTTAGCTAATGAATATTAAGTTAGCCATGTAACGTTAGCTAGCTGTCGTTGCTAAGTTACACGGCTGGTTGACTAACATTATACTTACATGACATCGACCTCTGTTGCAAACAAACGAGAAACACCGCACAAATAATTTCACGTAACTTCTCTGAAAGTTAGTTAGAAACACTTTCCATCTCTGCCCTTGCGCGGTGACAGTCACACCAAAAACACAGTGTCCTCTCCAGCCTGCCGACCCCTCACGCACTCACCTGATAATTACTTTGGCGTTTTTGGTAAGTCCCATTTTCAAAGCGACTCTTATTCCAGATGTGATATGAGCTGGTCTGTCGGAGCAGAAGCGCTAATTTTCGCCTTTGGAAGTGTAAGCCGCATTTCAGCGGTACCAACATCGGCGCCATGTTGACGAAGGAGGAAGGCGGTTAGTCAACACGCCGGGGACGTCACATCCGGTCTTCATCAACGCTGTCAAAGCTAGCAAGCGTGCTACATTTTTAATGAGATATCAGCCGCTAGTTTCTTCATAACACGACGTTATTTGTTGTCTAACGGTTTGTGGATGTGGTCCTAATTGGCAGTTGATATGCTGTAGCTGCGTGAATCGGAGAACCTCACTTAAAAACACAAGTCGCAGCCAAAGGAAGAACACGTTGTCGTCTTTGTCAAGGTAACCTAAACCGCCAGTTAAGTGGGTCGCTAGGTCAAGAAACGCCATCTGGCTTTAGCACAGTTTTAAGAGAAAACCCCTTGATCTCGTGCTCAGGATGCCATGCCACAATCAGCAGCTGAACAATGTGAGCAGTGGCCAGGAGCACCCAATGAAGCAAGTGCGATTTGCTAACAGCGCCAACAGCACTGTGCCTGCGGTGCTGTCCAACTCTGAACCCACTGATGCCACCATACAGCCTGACAGCCAAGATAACCTGGGACCTCAGCTTAAACTGCTCCCTCTGAATGACCAGATCCGTGAATTACAGACCATAATCAGAGACAAGTGAGTCCCCACTCTCCTATCATGACATACAGATCTCAACCAATCTGCTGCTCACTTAGCATATTGCATCTAATCTGTGTGTGTGTGTGTGTGTGTGGGGGGGGGGGGGGGGGGGTCACAGTGAACTTGAACCCAGGTCTCTCACACCAAAGGCATGTGTCTTATCCACTGCACCATCACCACCTGATATGAATATGATTGCCAAGCAGAAGAAGCATTTATTAATTGGTCATTTCACTCCAGAATCTGAAAAAATTAAAAATAGAAAAAGGCAACATACCTTTATCGTAATTAAAGTCCTATGCAGTATAGTCTCATATAACTGTATCAGAAATATGCAATCAATCTGATGGGTATCAGTACTGATCCTGATTTAATGAAACCATGGTATTTATCACACAGGGTATGTGACTGATCAAGGTTAACCTCTGTCTTGCCAGCGGGACAGTTAATGGAAACGTCAAAAAATGATGCAGCTTTAATACTATTTCACTCAGTGTTAACATCACATTGTTTATAGTCTGGAACAAGCTGATAAAGGATATACAGTGGATGTTGTTTTGTCAAGACAGTGTGGAATAAAATTACTTTCCTACCTTTTAAAGCTACTTAAAGATTGGGGTGTCGGAATGACTAGTAGGTGGTTTTGGAATCCGTGCAGTAGGCGAGTTGTTGGAGGAAACACCTGTGGAAACGTGAGTCAGAGTTGGTGAGAATGGTTTGGAAATAAAGTCCCCTCTCGTGTTTCCACAGTCGTCTTCCTGCAACAAGTCCCCACTCACAAGAGAGAATTTATCCTTGAGTAAGACTTTAATTTTGTTGTCGAAATGACTTGTAGGCAGGATGCAAAATTAGCACCGGCCAATTGCTAAATTATGCAAATGTCTGGTCGATTTGGTCTGGTGGGTAAAAAAACAACGGTCATCTATTGAGTGGCTGGTACTCTCTAAACATTCACTAGCCCTTTGGCCGGTGGACAAAAAAGCTAACTTTGCACCGTGCTAGTGGGTACAAAATGTTTCTGAAACTGGCTTCAGCCGGCAGCCGCAAACCAACTGCAGTAGCTACAAGATATTCCTTTGGGGAAATTGTGCCCGTCAAAATTCCTTCCACAAAAGTGCTTCAGATTGTTATACCAGGTGTCTGACAATATCATGGAAAGGATCCCTACGTGTGACACCCGATGACACCCTTTGTTTTTAATAAGAAACACAAATCTCACTCAAAGACAATTCTTGCTGGTGGAAATAAGGGAAAAGAGTTTGTTGTGTACATAGAGGAGCTGCTAGCAAGATTTAATTTCCAAACTTTACTTTAACACAACAAACTGTTCTCACCAACTCTGACTCACGCTTCCTGCAACAACTTCCCTACTGCTCGGATTCTAAATCTTTTTGTACCAAAAAATCTTTTCGACACCAAAATATGTAAAAATATAGCCCAGGTTTAAAAATACTGAAATTATCCTTTAAAGGATAAAAGAAAGGAAACTGGATCTTAAGGAGTTAAACACTGTTTCTTAGTCACTATTCTGTTTATGCTATAAACCCTCTACAATGATTTAATGTAATATTTTGCACAAGCATAAAAAGAATATTGGTGAATGAACATCTCGACTTACTGTTAGGAGGTTTTGTGTTTTACCTTACCTTAAACAGAGGAATGATCCCAATCACCTCCACACAGTGAAGTAAAGATTTGAAATGAAAAGAGATCTATAGATATAGGATCATTGCCCGCTATCGGCCAATACGGTACATTTATCTTATGTATCATAACAGGAGAGAAAATGTGGGTTTGGTTCATCCTGGGTGAAAAGTACATCCTGAACGATTAAATCAAATGGCTATATTTGTATTTTCAGGACAACTAGCAGAGGGGACTTTGTGTTTTGTGCTGATCGACTGGTAAGATCATGACTTAATACTACATATTGTACATGTGTGTATGTTTATAAGCTACATGCTGTAAGCTTTTTCTGTCTCCAACAACAGATCAGACTTGTAGTTGAAGAGGGTCTGAATCAGCTCCCCTACTCAGAGTGCACTGTGACTACGCCGACAGGTGAGGATCTCCTTCTCTAACAACAAAGTCAACGTTTAGGTTTAAAGGTTGAATCTGAGCTCCAACATGTACAACCCCCTCCCCCAACCCACCCCTGACAAAACTCGATAGAGCTGGCCAATTATCATAACATAAATGCAAAAATAAGTGTAGGACTCCGGCATGTATGTGAGCAGCTACTTGTGATTTGTTTCCCCCCCTCAGGGTACAAGTATGAAGGTGTCAAGTTTGAAAGAGGCAACTGTGGAGTCAGCATAATGAGGAGTGGTAAGTTTAACCTGCCATAGCTCACCTACCAAATTAGAGTCTTTCCTTTGTGAGGGCATGTATTTTATCTTCCATGCATATGTGATTTGTGCACTCGTGCTCTGCACATATTCATCAGGCCAGGCTACTCTGTGCTCTGGATCACACGCTTTTTGTCTTTTCTTTTCTCTCAGTGGAATTGATTGATCATGTTAATACTAAATAGTACAATAGAATAATGTTAACTCTGACATTGAAACATACATTTCTGTACTTTGCAGAGCATGTTCTCTGAAGGCGTCAGCAGAAGTAACTCGCTTGTTCTTTGTCCTTCAGATTTAATGAGACTGTCAAATGCACAACCTTAATGCAGTTACTGCAAAACCTGTATAAACGGCTGTAAAATGTGAAACGTGGGCTTGTTGGACACAAAGCTCAAATACTTCATCTTAAAGGCAACACACCATAGGCAGTGTGCAACACCCGCGCCTATTGTTTTCTATGCCAGTCCAAACAACAGTGGAATCCTGACATGTCCTTGTGGGTTGGCGCTTATCAACATGTCAGGACACAACGCTGTCCTATTTCTGAGTAACACAACAGCATCCCAGAAAAGCAGCGATTTTATCACATTTGCTCCTTAGATCAGTAAATCCAGGCTTCTGTACTTGTACTCTCTATGTGGTGCGTCCGGTGTGTTCTGTGAATATACTGTGTGTTGTCCATTGCACTGTGCATGTTTATAGAATGGTGGGCTATGTAGACCTTTGCACACACAGTTGACTTTGTGTTCAGAGACATACAGAAGTGTCTTCTGTAAGTGTCTACATTTACACACTCATTTTTACACACATTTTTGTAAATATTTGATTATATCTTTTCATATGACAACACTGAAGAAATGACACTTTGCGACAATGTAAAGTAGTGAATGTACAGCTTGTATAACTGTGATTTTGTTGTCCCCTCAAAATAACACATCACATAGCCATTAATGTCTAAACTGCTGGCAAAAAAAGTGAGTACACCCTGAGCAAAAATGTCAAAATTTGGCCCATTGTGTCAATATTTTGTGTGGCCACCATTATTTTCCAGCACTGCCTTAACTCCATAAGCAGAGGTAGCATGGGTGCGGCTGACGAAGGGCCCCGGCTGGTAGGGGGCCCCCCTACGTGGGCCATGAAGTTTGGTCAGTTGATTGTTGTCGACATGGATGAACAACTGCGCTACATGCAGCTTCGCTGTACCGAGAGAATTCAGCAGCTGTTATCAAATGAACCAGTCCCTTCACTCATGGTTTCAATGGTAAACTATCACAAGAATGACAGTTACCAACAAAAAATACTATATTCTAAGGAGACACGTTTTAATAAGCATAAATCATAAAGTAACATTTGTATTTCAAGCAAATGGCAAACTTATTAGCACATTTTAACAAAACTCCCTTCATCCTCATGCATCATGAGAATTGTGAGGGACGGACGTAGGCTGCGTTTGTGCAATGGTTTATTTATGCCGTCAAAGTCCACTGGAAGACACAGAAGCATTTCAGCAGCGGAGCATGTCGCCTGCCGCATGTTACTGACTTGTTTTTAAAATGTCCTTTTTGTGCTTCTACTACCTTCTTCAAAGCTCTTTATGACCCAATTTTGTTCCTCGTCGTGACAGGTGCATCTAGCAACTACCACAGGGAGCATTTCAGAATAAAGACGTGTTGCCTGCCAGATTTTGCTGACACATTTAGATTTTGGTGATTAGTGCGTTTCTTTTTGTCTAACTGTGTTCATTGTTGATATCCAATCAGAATTCTGTACTGGGTATTTTATTTTGAAAATTGACTGGATTCTCTGCCGTTTTTTGTGTCTGACTTGCTGCCCGGTTCATCTGCTCTGTGCTGCTTGATGCTGGGACGCTTCTGGGACGCACTGCAGTGCTTCTGGTTTGAGCACAAACATTGACTAGAAAGGCTGCGATCAGCTCTGGCAGCAGCGACGCAGATGGACTCAGTGGACTTTTCCGAGTGAGTCCGGGGTCATGTATACTTGGTTTAAATGACCTGGTAGTAGGTGGTCCACTGTGCTGAGAGTCTAGCTACGCCCCCGCTTAACTCTCTTGGGTTTGGTGTTCACCAGAGCTTTACAGGTTGCCACTGGAGTCCTCTTCCACTCCTCCATGACAACATCACGGAGCTGGTGGATGTACGCTCCTCCACCTTCTGTTTGAAGATGCCCCACAGATGCTCTATAGGGTTAGGTGGAGATTTGCTTGGCCAGTCCGTCACCTTTACCCTCAGTTTCTTTAGCAAGGCAGTGGTCGTCTTGGAGGTGTGTTTGGGGCATACGCGTAGGAGCCATTATACATGAGGGGACATGCCCCCCCCCCCCCCCCCCTATGTTTTGTCCCCCTCACTTTTTTCGGCGATTTTGGAGATTGATCATAGCCAGGCGGTTTGAGTGAATAGTTAATCAATCAGTCATACACTCTGCATCAGATATGATTAAACGGTTAAAACGCGGACAGAAATCATGTGGCCTATAGAATGCAACAGAAGGCAAATGTGGTGCTGAAAAGTTTGCTCAAGCAGGTGCGGCAAAGTGCCTCAATATTATGTTTATTTTGTGCTGTTCTTTTTGTACCTAAAGACAGCAGTGAGTACGCCTGCTGCAGGGTGGGTAGTGACTTGTTACAACTAACGTAATTTTGCAAAATTAATAAATAAAATAAAAAAAGTAATTGGCACCTTTTCACATTCCTTTTTTAAACTGTAGCCTACTTTTACTCTTTACTCCAGTATTTTCTGTGGGCCAGTAATTTACTTTTAATTTCGCTACATTTTCCATTCATACCTTCATAACTTCACCAGTCTGTAATCTGCAATAGGCATCCTTAACCGAAATGAGCAGTCAGCCAGGCTGTGTGCACACAGTTACTGCAGAAGAGATATGAATGAGCTGGGCAGATGCAAACATTTAGAAAATCAGGCAAATACCTTTTCAGTTCAAGGCTTTATTGTTCTACTGAAACAACTGAAATCCAGTGAGCCACACCATAGCACTGGTGGCCTGTTGGAAAGCAGCCTGCGTCGCTCTTTAACAAGCCAGCCGGCACCTACTTTCACTTTCCATTAACGGCGCATTAAAAGCGTCTTTAGTCTCTGCAGAGAAAACGTAAACTTCACACTGTAACATCCATTTTCAACAACAGAATCCTGTTATCGAAAAGATGTGTCGATAAACAGAATGTCGCCGGTGACACAAATCTTGGCTTTCACTCAGCAGCTACCAGCTGTTATTTATTCAGGAAACAATCATTTTTGAGATGCGCAGAGAGAAAATATGGTAAAACAGTCCTGTTGGGCTTTACGCATGACGCACAGCTTCCTCTGTATGTCGGTTTACCTGCTTCAACAACGAGCTTCTCCATGTTACTGCCACAATAATTCTTTGCGTTGCAAAGATTATTTAGATGCTTTAGGAATAATCAGATTTTTTTGGCTGCCTGTGCTGCTGCAAAGCAGGTGGTTTGGTTGGCTACATGTCCATAATAAAAGATACAGGCAACAAAAGTCGGCTGGGCTGCAAGCTGATATTTTAAAGTGATCTTATCAACACATTCATGGAGATTTAAAAAGAAAAATAATTATTAAACAGAAATAGCTAAAGATAATCAACCAGCAAAGCAAATTGCATTCCCTAGAAATAACCATGTTGTTTCTAGGGAACAAACCTGATGAACAGCAGATGAAATATATTATATTTATACATGAGTAGGTTTGTCATTTTTTTCTTTTCCTTTTTATGGGAGTAATTGTACTTTTTCTTGAGTAAAGACTTTGAGTACTCTACCCACCACTGGCCAGCGGCACCAGTACTAGCGCTGACACGGAGAACATGAGACAGACAGCAGAGATGAGGGCAAGAGCAGAACAGAGTCAAAGCCAGCACAGTCCACAGCAGCAGTTTATGGTAAGATTGATGATGATATGGATTATTTAGTTATCTACTCAAGGGCTCAGCTGAAGTGATTACTTTACTTTAGGAGTGTCAGAGGGATGTTTGTAGTTTTGAAAATGTATTTCAATGGCTCATTTAGTTATGTACTCTACTTGCATAAAAAATCGCAAGAATGCAGGAATAAAGGTCTCTAAATACCCAGAGGCCCCAATAAATGCTTTGTCTGGAGAGCGGGTTGACCAGGGACAAACTCCTGGGCCACTTTTTTGCCTCCGTCTGTGACCATCCTTGACCTTAAAAACTTGTGCCATGAGGTGTGTATGTGTCTCTGCTACGTGTCCATAAACAATTTGAAAGTAGTCAAAATGTTCACAGAGAGACGAGCATCCTGCAGTATTTTAGGAGGAAGAGGTCAGAGGTCACAGGAGCAGAAATAACTGAGGAGGACGAGCTTCTAAGTTGTATGGCTAGCTACTAGACGTAGTATTTCTAAAACTCACGTAGTAAAAAGACTTTGTTATTCCAATGCCATGTCATCAACGTTTCAAGTGTAACACCAGGATAACTAAATACATTAGTACTGTGGCTACATTAACTAGCAGCTGTTCCATGGTTTTTATGGTATGTAGTTGGTTTTGTTCTAGTTATATTATACTCCCTCTCTCTGACCCTCTCCCTCTTCGAGTTTTCATAATCTCCCCTCTCCAGTCTGTTCTCCAACCTCTGTCACAACAAAGACCCTCTTTCAGCCATAATAAGTACATTCTGTTTTCAAAAGTCATTAGAAATGAGCATTTAATCAGAATCGGAATCAGAAGGAGCTTTATTGCCAAGTAGTGTTTAACACATATGAGGAATTTGTTTGGTGATAAGTTGCTACACGTAGACAAACATACAGTTGTCATAAATAAATGTAGAAATATATAAATATGGAATAGACAATGCAAGTTATATAATATTAAAAAGAATAGAGAAAAATAATACAACTATTTGCAGACTATTTATCTATCAACTATTTAAGTGCTTTATTTAAAAAAATAAATAAAAAAACGAACCCCCTAGCATTTCAGCGTCACCCCCCAAGTTCAAAGTCGCTCCAAGGCCCCGGTTTGGGGTCATTATCATGTTGGAATACTGCCCTGCGGCCCAGTCTCCGAAGGGAGGGGATCATGCTCTGCTCATGCAGTGTGCGGCGTTTCCCAAAGACAACCTCTGGATATGACGCTGAGCACGTGCAGTCAACTTCTTTGGTCGACCATGTTCTGAATGGAACCTGTCCTGTTGAACCGCTGTATGGTCTTGGCCACTATGCTGCAGCTCAATTTCAGGGTCTTGGAAATCTTCTTATAGCCTAGGCCATCTTTATGTAGAGGACATTTAGATCCTCTTTGCTATAAAGTGCCATGTTGAACTTCCAGTGACCAGTATGAGGGAGTGTGGGAGCGATCACACCAAATTTAACACAACTGCCAGTGTTTCCCCTATACGCTTTCAGGAGTGGCGGTGCGCCGCTGCTGTATCATGACCGCCGCTACTAAAATTTGCCACGATCATTAAACTATGCGCTACAAATGTTTTCACTCGCACATTGTGCGAGCATGGCAACACTCAATGCTTGGCTCGATTCCTCTCCTAGTTCTATACAGAACATCTACATGACAGATGGTGTTATAAGAGCAGCGTAAGTCCTGTGAGGAATCCGGAGGTGCGTAGCGAGTGTTTGATTGTCCGAGTGGCAGAAAGTGACGGTGAACGCGAGCGGAGGAAATATTCTGGCAGTAAATGTAGCCTACTGTGTCAGTTACAGTGTGTCTGCTTCTCAAGACCAAGAAAAGTTTGTCTGTTGTTTTCCCACCTGCTGGAAAAGTGAAGCCTCTTAGCGCTAGCAAACATCTCTCCTCCCCTTCAGACTGTGCAGCAGAGCAGGGAATCTTAAACAGTAGTCTAGGCTGCGTCTTTTGGCTGCTATGTAACTGAACATTACCTCAATTTATAGAAAATAACTGGTAGCTGTATTTTATTACTGCCTACTTGTCCACTGTTGAGAACATCAGGGTAAACTGGCGTAGCCTACAGCTCTGTCCTGTACAGACTGATTCAATTATTAATCTAATTTTCAGGTGAGACTGAAAAACTGGTTGTTAGGAAAAGAAAGGATGGTGGTGACTGGAGGAGCTGAGGTTAGAAAAGCAAATAAGTCATGCAAACTAGTACTGTTAAGCTAATGAGGAGACGTTTCCTTTTGGATTTTAATGTGCAAATAATTTAATGCACCTGAGAAGGGAGGTGGTTTCTCATGTTCCCTTTTTTTTATATTAATGTCTATACAGATAAATGTCGAAGGCTGTTAAATGAAGACACAAAAGGCAAACATGAACAATCGTATCTATAATGATTCTGAGGTCATATTAACAGCGTTTTCCTGCCGTTGAGGCTTAGGGGGTGATGCGCAAAACATGGTGTGCCATAAATGTAAAATCACTGTGGAGCATCATAAATAGTTATTTATTATCTGCTCTAGCTTTTCCAACTATTTGTTTGGAGATATGGTGAAAATAATGGCCCAATATGATGTGAAATTACATATCTGTCATTGGAAAGAGTAAAATTTTATTGCGGAGGACCCCCCTGACCATGACCACCACAAGCAACACGAAAACATTAATCTAAAGCTCACATGAAACTATGGGAAAACACTGAAGTTTTAAGCTATTCTAATGTGCATCGCATGCTCATGGACACAAGAGCAATGTTGCTGAGACATGTTGTGTTGGGGTTTTATCTTCAGACAAAAACACCTCCGCTGCTACAACTCCATCCTACACTGTCTGCTCCCCATTCACACCTGAGACCTTGTAACACTAACAACTCGCATGACAATGGGGAGGGAAAATGGCTAATTGGGCCCAATTTGGAAATTTTCACTTAGGGGTGTACTCACTTTTGTTGCCTGTGGTTTAGACATTAATGTCTGAGTGATGTGTTATTTTGAAGGGACAGCAAATTTAAACTGTTAAACAAGCTGTACACTCACTACTTAACATTGTAGCAAAGTGTCATTTCTTCAGTGTTGTCACATGAAAAGATAGAATCAAATATTTACTACAAGGTACAATGTTGTTTATTAGTCATTATACAGCACAAGGCTGCATAACAAAACGAAATTTGTAGTTCCTTCATGCTACACACACAACATACACTTAACAAAATTATAAACGCAACACTTTTGTTTTTGCCCCCGTTCATCATAAGCTGAACTCAAAGATCTAAGACTTTCTCTATGTACAGTAAAAGGCCTATTTCTCTCAAATATTGTTCACAAATCTGTCAAATTCTGTGTTAGTGAGCACTTCTCCTTTGCCGAGATACTCCATCCACCTCACAGGTGTGGCATATCAAGATGCTGATCAGACAGCATGGGTATTGCACAGGTGTGCCTTAGGCTGGCCACAATAAAAGGCCACTTGAAAATGTGCAATTCCATCACACAGCACAATGCCACAGATGTCGCAGGTTTTGAGGGAGCAAGCAATTGGCATGCTGACTGCAGGAATGTCCACCAGAGTTTAGCTCATGATGAATGGGGGCAAAAACAAAAGTATTGCATATATAATTTTATTCAGTGTATAATTAAGTGTAGGCCTATATTAAAAATATGGTAAAAACAATACAGTTATTTATATACATATACATACACGTATGCATTTTTTGAATTTGCCTTTTGGGGTGAATGTAAACACTGGCAACCAGGTGATAACATGAAACTTTCATCTTCCCAATAAACAGTCTGACATTTGGGAAACAAAGTCCATCGTGACTGCGTTTGTGCACCAGGCATCATCGATGTAGAGTCCACTTACTCTCATCTTGCCGATGTCTTGCACTCACAGCTCAGAACATAGACCACCTGCCAAGTCTGAATTCCGTTGCTTGGTCAATATTTTGGGTCATTTTGTCCAGACCGGTTATTTAGGAGCAGAATTAAGTCCAAGCTGGGCCAGCATGGCTCCTCTTTTGGCTCCCTTTCCTCTCCTCTGAGCGATCACCGCACCCGCCATGGCGCCTGGTCCAGTTGTTTGGGCTGGATGGATCGTGGTCTGCTGCTCTTTAATCCAAAAAAAGCTGGTTGCCATAGCAATGTGAGGGTTGTACTCACTTTTGTGAGATACTGTAACAGGTTTATTGTTATTTGAGGTTAAAAAAGTTATAAATCACAATATTCTGAATGTCACAAACCAATAGGGAACCGCAACAGAACCTGAAGTATTGTGATTTTGTGAATATTATATCTAAGGCCCCTTAGTGATTCCTATCCCTAATAGATAGAATGTCTTCAAGTTTATGTGCAGTTGTGCCCCTTTGTGTCTCCCCACAGGTGAGGCCATGGAGCAGGGTCTCCGGGACTGCTGCCGCTCCATCCGGATTGGCAAGATCCTCATCCAGAGTGATGAGGAGACACAGAAAGCCAAGGTCTACTATGCCAAGTTCCCTCCAGATGTGTACAGAAGAAAAGTGCTGCTCATGTACCCCATCCTTAGTAAGTGACAAGAGGGCTAAGCGCAGTTTATCTCACTGATGACTCCAGTTTACCGCCCTCAATAGCATGTAAATGTCAAGAGATGTCTATTTTTGTGCAAATGTAAAAACAGTTTCATGTATTTATTCATTCTAAGAAATCTCCCTTGAGTTGACCTTTACCGGCACATCTGCATTTCCACATCACACTGGCCCATTCACACTGTTCTGATAATTATAGCCCTCATGGGAAATTATACACTGCCTGGGAGATGGCCACCAAGCTGCTGAATAGCATAATGAGGGCCAACAAAAATAGTATCTTAATAGTCCTGGTTTCCCAATGTCACAAAGCAGCATTTTTCTGCTCTTGGTTTCTGAAAAAAATAAGATGGAGACCAAGCAAGGTTGAAGGTATGTTTTATTATGTCCGAATGATGGAACATATGGTTACACTGATTCATGCTAACAGGGTCAGAAATGAAAGCCTGCCAAGTGCCCAGATTCATGGGCAGATCAATCAGCACACAACTCAGTACCTTTTTTTCAACAAACAGTCAAGGCTGTTTGTTGCACAGGTAATAATACAAAAACATCATGTTGCATTGTTAACCTAATGAAGTGAGTGAGCAGGTTTCAAATGAACGCTTTGTTTCTGTAAATAAAGTGACGTCGGAATGTGAGGCAAACGTCAAACCTCAAATGTTCTGTGTCTGCAGGTACAGGGAACACTGTGATTGAGGCAGTGAGGGTTCTGATCGAGCACGGTGTCCAGCCCAGGCATATTATCCTCCTCAGCCTCTTCTCCACGCCTCATGGTATACCACCTCAGCTAGTTCACTGCAACTGCAGCTCATCACCAATTAACTTTTGTTTACCCACCAGTTCACAACATGTCTCCAATCTCCTCTCCACTCCTGTTGTATCATTGCCCTTTTTTAAAGGATTTCATTTATTGGAAAGTATGGAGTAATTTGTCGACTTTTAATAGTAGTTTTATTCTATGCAGATTGTCATTACATTTAATGTGAATATTCATGGTTTCTCAGGGAAGGATTTGTTTAACCCCTTGACCTTTCTTGTAGTGCCATCGTTGAACCAAAATTTCTACTTAACAAAAGAAATATTCAATTCACAAGGCACGTTACCAAAACAAGCCCTGTAATGCTTCCTAGAGTTTGTAATAATCCCACAGACTTTACTCACACACCACCCTCAAGACAATGGCTTTGAAACAGCCTTGTGTGTCTGCATTTGCCGAAAGGCTTAAAATTGGCGAACTCTGTATTTAGAAAATAAGTTTGATTTTGGCCGATAGTTTCTCAAGCTGCTTTGGCGTCACTTTCAACCACAATGTTGTTCACCATTTCCTAACAGCAGCAGCAATGCTGGATTTCTTTGATTTAAACACTTCATCTTAAGTGTAACATAAGGCTGGGCAATAAAACAATAATGATAATTATCGCAATATAATCTTCCTTAATAACATAACAAATGTTCAATATATCATCAATTTATCAAAGTATTTGATTGAATTCATAAGAATCATGAACGAATTAGCACTAAATATTTCTATTGATGTTTATTTGTTGAGGAAAAGGGACTGAAAGAGTTAATCACATTTTTTGAAAAAAATATTTTATCATAATTGTTTTGAATGTTCTACCACAGATATGTGAAGTGATCCACTGTTGGCATCAAGTGTAAAGTATAGTTTAACCACACAATTAACCATCTCGTCCTTTAATTTTCCTTTCATTCTGGGGCAAAAATTTGCCTTTAAACTTGAAAGAAATAATAATTTTGACATTTATCGTGATAATTATCGATATCGAATGGTTTGAAATGTTTTTATCTTATACCTTGTCTTACACCTTTTTACTTTTCTCCTAGGAGCCAAATCCATTATACAGGAGTTCCCAGATATCACCATCTTGACCACTGAGGTTCATCCAGTGGCTCCGACACATTTTGGACAGAGGTACTTTGGCACTGACTGAATCGAGGACAACATGAGGAACATGATCTGCAAATTGCTTTGAGTATATTTTGTCTTGTTAATTTAAATGTATCTCATGTTCTCCTTGTTGTGCCAAATACTGCTACTTTATCTCCAGAGGTCCTAAACTGAAACAAAATGATTAATCTGAGCGGTTGTATTTATTATCATGTGTTTCTGCGGTGTGTGCTCATGCTAAAGAAAGAGAACTGAACACTGAACCATATAAAGAGTTCAACTTGAATTGTTTTATTTTGCATGTTACAACAACTGATGGAAAATAAAGAATTTATATTTGTTAACAGACAGAAAAGCAAATGAAACGGTATCAGTACTTTTGGTGTTTCAGAGGTGTTGAAAAAGGGCCACAGTCACATACTCCGACAATTCAAAAGGGATCACACTGGATGTGCTCTAGCAATATTGAACTCCTGTCTGCAAACTGGGTATAATTTGTCATCGTCTCATGTTATAAATATCCTACTTTCTGATAAAAGGAAATTGCTTTGTATCTTTAAAGTGTCACTTAATGGAGCAAAATATACAGACACTGCCTCCAGCAGTAATGAATCAGTAAACTCAATACACAGATAAAATGTATATTATTATAACAATAAATAGACACAAGACTACATGAAACACAACATTCACATCTTTCCTAACATTTTATACATGCTTTCAAACCTTGAATCATACCCAAGATAAACTGTTTTAATCAATGAGTTTTGAATTTTATGCTATGTATTTCTAAGCATTTGATTTGGCTTACCCAACACAGGACAAAAACAGATCTGATGAAGTTAAAGTGTCAACATCACACAGCATCAGGGTTTGATAAAGGCCCAACTTTTTTCTCACGCTGAATAAATGGGTTTACTCAATTACAGAAATGGTTTCAACTAACGTACGCTGGCTAAATACACAAGTCCATAAACCAAAACAGTCTTGGTGAGGAGAATCTGTTTTACTGGTATTAAAAATTTCAAATACATAAACACAGGTAGAAAAAATTTAGAACATCATATTGCAGAAGGCCGCTGACCTCTACCAACCAGTGGATGAGGATCAGTCCTACTATATTTATGTACAGTTATCTGCATGTTTAAAAAGATCAAAAGTGAAAATAGACCCAAAAAACTTCTATGTATGATTTTGTGCCTATGACTAAAGCAAATGTCACTTCACTTTCCTATCACGAATGGCCGATATGGTAGAAAACAAGATTGTAATATATATATTTTTTTTAAATGTCAACCACAGTATATCTCCTATGCTCACCACAGACATAAATAATCCAACTGATTTTTAGGTCAACAATGTAGCCAACACCTTCTAGGTCATGATATACAGTGTATTCAGGATATCACGTCACAGAAAAATGATGAACGTTACGTCGGCCATAATACTTTGCTAGTTTTGTTTTTTATTATTGTCACCAGTCTGATCAGACATTGGTAATGGTATTTTAACTCTATCAATGCTGAAATTTTTTATTAAAGCATAATTGGAGGTTCTTTCGTATATATATGTGCCAAAAATGTTGGCACGGCCCACTCACAAGCAGGTCACTGGATACATTCTTAGGAGAAATGGACTCCCAAAACACAAGAATAAATGTATTAATAAGGCGCCGGTTAATTCAGGTATTCTACTGTGGTTAATGTTTACAGGGGGAAAAAAGTAAAGTCTGATGATATGCTCCAAGACCCAAACTGTTAGAGGCCAGACAACTCAATCATTACAAGAGACCTCCAGAGCAAAATGAGTATGAGGTCAATTCAGATACCATCCTGCACAGACCAAGCACTAAGGTGCAACACTGTAAACTCACGGCCAAACACTGAAACAGAGGCATACAAAATAGTACAGTGCCAGACAGAGGCTTTTCGACTAACAGTAATTTATAATCCCACAGAGGTCAGTGCCTTGAGATGAACAACCAGAGGAAGGGATACACAACCCATGATAAACAGCAGTATACTTTTTATGTTTTTTTCCCCCTGAATCAAACTGATACTGTTGTCCATGAGAGATGATGCTACTGGGTGTCCATTGAATTTCTCTATACATCAATGTGTTAAACACCAGGGTGAAAGTAGCAATGACAATCCAAATCCACACGTTTGGCCCCCTTCAGAATTTCTTTCCTAGTGTCTGAACATCCACATGATTTGGAATGCATTTGCCTCGTGGTAAATAGCGATGGTAATCTACATCCTGTGTACCTGGGTAAATTGTCTGTACATTCAATTACTATTCCTCCATCTCTATGGTAACAGAGGGGTCTTGTTCTTCAGCTGGAATAGGGGAGAAAAAAAAAAAGAAAATTCAGTACGTGAGAGTGTTGTAGCTGATTCAGCTTGTACATTATGTCGCACATGACCACCAGGTGGTAGCAAAATATGAAGTTTCACATTTTATGTGAAGACAAGTGCATTGGTTGACTATTGACTAGTTTGGTTGGCATTATTTATTGTAGCTTAATAATCTCATTAGCAGCACTGGTTATGCTATCACGATGATGATTATAGTGGGACATTAGGTTGCTCTATTTGAAATTCAATAATGATGCCTTAATTAGTTTTAATTTAATTTAAAAGTAGTTTTAAAAAACTGTTATACTAAATACAAAAACTCTTTCGAAGCCACAATTTCACATCCAAGTCTTTCAAATCATGTAAACATTGTGTACTGAAGAAAGGCTTTTACTTGCAAATAAAACCAGTGTCTATAGAAGTGCTGCGAGGCAAGACAAAACAATTTTGAAACAACAAATTCAGAGCACATAATCAAATTCTGCTTGTACCAGTCAAACTTTTACAGAAATAGTTCATGTAAAAGTTTAAAATACATATTTTTTACAGATTATGTGTTATATTTATTGTACTGAAAATGTACACAAAAAAACAGCAAATTTATTGAGGTTAGACAAACTCTTAAGAAACTGCTACTCAGAAATATTGATAGGGTTTATCAGGTGACACCTGTCCAGGCTGACAAATACTTGCAAATACTGTCTAATTTTTTAATTTTTTTAAAAGTTGCTGATTCAGGTGTAATTTATAGAAAAGTATTCTCTGAACTACAGAGAACAGACTAAACTAACTAACTATATCAACTATAAAATTAAAGTGACTCACCCGGGCTTCCTTCTTCAGAGCCATCATCGGACTCCTCCCACATGTCCTCATTAGCTAATAAGGGGTTCTGGGATTCAGAACTACGATTCTTCAAGGGGAAGTAGTGGCCATTCCCTTGGCTGACATGTACATTGCACAAAAGTAGATGGAAGCTAGTTAAGGATCCATGGCCATCACAGTACCTAGTCCCATCCACTCATCCAGTCCCTCATTCTACATTTTGTTCATTAGCTCCAACGTTGCTAAAACAACACATTCTGCAGGCAATCACCTTTAGATTGTTCCCTGTTTTATTATTATATAAATGATTATTTTAATTGTTATGGGTATTTCTGTTGTATGGTATTATTATTCTGTGGTCCAGTATTGCAGTATCTATTGCAAACCAAATTACTTTCATAGGGCCAAGTCTAAACATTACAGAATCAGCTAATTATGCATTTTACTCACCTTGTGACAACAGGGATGAACCACAGTCTTCGATCCTCGCCAAATACCTGCTGTAGGTTTTTGCGTATGCCGACATTGAAACCATTTCTGTCTGGTCCACTGACAAAAACTGGAGCTGAGAAGGCTTCTAGAAAATGAAAAACAACTGTGGGTCAGAATATGTCTTCATGGTTCAATTCTCCACATCTGCTTGTCAAGCTACATCGATTTCAACACCTACATTCCTAACAAGAGAGCTCCACCCAGCAAATAATTCGTAAGTCACTCAGGTAGTAAGAGAGCATCATAATGAGCAAAACTAAGGAGTTTTGGAATAAATATGTAAACCCTCACCTAAAGTGGATCGGTTCTTGGCCACCAACCAACAGTGGTAGCCAAAGAGGAACATGAGACTGACGAAGAACATGATCGCCACAAACATGAGGAAGAGGACATGGAACTTTGCGGGCCCATTTGGCAAGTCCCCCTGGGAGAGAGAAACAGGAGAACTAGAAACTTGAGAAAAATGGTGGACTATAAAGAAAGGTACAGCTCAAGACAGAGGGTTTAGTTCTCTGTTCCTGTGGAATTACAACAGTGCTGCGGACTATGTGCAGTCAAATTTGTCATATGACTCCATTGCAAGATGTTGAGCACGAATGATAATTTAGACTAATGACACTCACCACCCAGAATTTGAGGAAATACTGAAAGACTGTTGCAGCAATAAACGCACAGTACAGCATGGAGTAGGACAAGAAAAGCAGGAAAAACTTGTAGTTTGAAAATCCCACACAGTTGTTTACCCTAAGAAAAAGAAATTCTGGTGTCAGAACAAAATGAAAGCATAAATTCTTCTAAACAGGGAAGTCAAGGCTTAGTTAATGCTTACCAGGGACAGTGATGGTCCATCTTCAAGACACATCTTTATAAGAAAAACAAAAATAGTAAATACCTTAATCCAATTTCAGACATAAAACTTATATTTCAGTTTGTCTTCCAGTCCAACTTTTAATACAACCTTCTCTACATATTCTGACAGCGGTCTGCTGATTCCTTTTGGTAAACTTCTGCTCGGATTGATCATTAAGATATTCTTACTGGAAGACAGCGTGCCAACAAAGCAACACCTAATTATCACAACAGTCCCTGGGCCAACAAATGTCTCCTTGCCTAGGGCAATCTCTCTAGATTAATGGATTGAGAAGGAAAGAGCGACTTACGTTTCACAAACTGAGCAGTGGTGACAGCGGTCAGGCTTCAGTACCTGGCAGCGGTCGCAGAACCTGATAGCTGGAGACAGGAAGATGGCTAGTTGAATGAACGACATTCGAGCTGAGCTCACCCTTTATTCACTTCCTTCAGCCTAGAACACTTAGTCTTAGCAATCAGCACTAATGAAAGAGATACATTGGCTGATTGCTCTGGATGGGGATGCTGAGGAGCACACACACAGCTAATTGCCCTCGCCTGCTTGCTTTCAACGCACACAGATTATGTGCGAGATGACGGACTGTGGTGATGCTCTGTGATTTTGAGATATGGCAAATAAATGAATATGAAATAATATCAGTGCAGGGGGGGGAATATTAAATTACTTGACAGGACTACTGACCTCCAGATTGAGCTCGAGTAAAGATGGGCAGCTTCTTTGCGATCTCAACCAGGATTTGCTTCTGAGCATCAGGCCTCTCTTCCATCTCATATCTTTGCTTGTCTGAGTACGACAGCTGAAACTAGGGTAACAAACATGCAACATGATCAGCACCAAATTTGTTATTACAATATAAATGTATTATTTGGTACAATAAACCAATAACATTATGGTCAGCCTGTCATCCTTTACAGACCTTTTTGCATGGTGATGCAGGAGGGGTGAATATGGACTTCCAGTAGGTCCAGGAGAACATCACAAAGCAAACATGAAATACCAGTAGATAGGCCACTGCAAGCACAAAACAACAGTAATTTACAAAACAACCTCAAAACAAACTTAATGCATTGTTTAGCAGCACACGCAATGCTTGTAGCAGAAAAATAGTGGATAACTCACCTTTTTCAAAGGGGTTGGTGAGTGTAACTGTAAAAAAACAAGACAATATGGCATAATAAAAATACAAGCCGTCTGCCAGAGACCAGCAACAGTGTATCTAACAGTGTAGCTAACAGTGTCCAGTAACAGTAGTTTGTTTATTCAAAAGAGGAACAACATTTATTGGCTAACACCACTAGCCAGGTTGACTGACAGGTTGTAGTAGCTAAGAGGCACAACAATAGCCTGTGTTTGTATAAATACAGAGTTAACATTGACCTAAGTGGCGACGAGAGATTAAATTAAGTGTGACTTTCTTCTTTTTAAAAAGCTTAATGTTACGTTAACCAAATAAAAAGCACACACCCTAAACCACTTCCGCCTAGTTTGCTAGCTCCTGCTCTCTCTTTAACGTTATTTTAGTCAACACTGCTGTGCGGCAATCTGCGACGTATCCAGTTTAACGTTCAATCACAACAAACGCACACAGTTTCTCATACTTACAAAGACATAGCTCAAATACGTAGGCGTAGTATGACCACAACACGACGGAGGTTATTATAAGCACAGGTATCCAGGAGAAAACCCTTTGACAGCATCTCAAACCTCTGGAGAGAGCCATGTTCCACCTTCTGTTCGTCTCTGCGCTCGACTACCATTCCTGGGATTTATCCATCAGTGACATCGGCGAGCGATTCACCGCACTCCCAGAGCCAGATAAATAATAAAAATGATCATTCTACATAATCAAGGACTCTGGCTTGATTATGTAGAATGATCATTTTTATTACAGTATTATAGTAATATAACTGTTGATATAATAGTACTGTTAAAATAAATGAATATATACTAGAATATACTTTCTTAGGATAAAAAAGGAAAAAATTTAGGGAAACCTAAAGCCATGGCAAACTCCCATCTACCCTGAAATATTCTGTTTAGTTCATTGACAAATTTGTTACACATTTATTAAGAAAGAAAAATCACTCAAAACAATGAAATCCTTTCAATATCCCTGCCATTTCCACACTCAGGCGTACTTTGAAAGTCTTTTTCTACAAAGCAGCTTTCATTTTATTTCCTCACATAAACCTTCATACTGTACACTAGGAGCAATTTCAGGTTCAATGTCTTGCTCAGGGACACTTTGCTATATGGCCAGGAAGAGCTGGGGATGGTCCAGCCCAGCACAGATTGGCAGTATTTATGATACGTTTATTTAAAATACTTATTTCAAAAGTAGGATTTTGTAATTTGTATTTAATATGGTTGATGAAAATAGCTTCATATTTTGTATTAAAATGCTTTATATACTTTGTGAGACGTCTATGTGATGACATCATAAAAAGGCAGCCTCTGATTGGTGCCTACTGAGTAATTTTTACCCAGACTTGTTGAGATCAGAACAGAAAACTGACCCAGACCCTAGAAGGTCAAGTTGAGAAATATACAGGTTTCCATCGCTTTCTAGTATACATTGCTACATTTATTAACAGTTGCTGTTAAGTTTTGGTGTTTTCATAGCCTATAATAAATTGTTTACTACTGTGAAATATTCTAGCTAAATAAACAATATTAAGTTTTTGTCGGTTTGCACAAAAAAAGTGTTTCAGAGTTGTTATACAACATTACTTTATAATGCCACAAGACTTGTTAACAGCTTGCTTAATCCACACACGTGTGCCTTATTGTCATTAACAAGGTTCTGCTGCAACACCATTAAACAGCAGGTTGTCAACTCATCCACCACTCTTGTTTGTTGTAGCTCAGATGATGCAAAGAAGGCCCTTCATTACCAAACACCAGGAAACTAAATCAGGATACAATTATAAGGGCCCTGGAAGCCGCCATGCCTCGAGTAGATTGCGCCCTTAAGGCCATAGGTGAAGGTAACCCACGCACCTGATAGGCCAGGGAAATAGTCTGAACAATCCAGTTGCTGATCGTGTGTTTGGAAGCAGGGAGCCCAGCCTTGGGGGACCCAAAACACACCAGCAACTGGTCTGCTTTCCTCCACCGGGAGGACCTCAGAGTGTAAATACTCAGTGCTCTGACAGGGCAGAGCAGATGAAGTCTCCCGTCCTCCGCCGTCACATGAGGTGGGGGATGAAACGCCTGCAGCATCGTGGACCCTGCCAACCTGGATGGGACCTTAGGTACATATCCCAGACAGGGGTGCAGGATGGCTCTGACCCTCCCTGGGGCAAACGCCAGGCATTGCGGAGACACCGAAAGTGCCTGGAGATCGCCCACCCTCCTCAGAGAGGTGATAGCGAGGAGAAAGGCCATCTTAAGGATCAGGTGCTTGGCCTCATCCGACTCCAGGGGTTCGAAGGGGGCCTCAGTCAGCACTTCGAGAACCACCGCCAGGTCCCAGGTGGGAAGCCTGGACCGAGTCACGGGTCTCATCCTCCGGGCTCCACGGAGGAAGCGTACGACCAGTGGAAGCCTCCCCAGAGGCCCATCCCTCAGAGGGGTGTGGAACGCCGCCACGGCAGCCACATATACCTTGAGTGTGGATGGGGAAAGGCCAGCAGAGAAACGGTCCTGGAGGAACTCCACCACCATAGTCACCGGGCAGGTAACTGGGTCCACCGCTCGTTCTCTGCACCAGGTGGCAAACACTGTTCCTGCCATGAGGCCCGCCTCCAGGAACTGGGCCCCCTCAGGGGCCAGACCCACAGTCTCCATAGGGCGGGGCAAGGGTGAAAGACCTGGCCCTGCGCCTGAGACAGCAGATCCTTCCTCAGAGGGACCTGCCATGGCGGGCCCTCTAGGAGCAAAATTAGGTCTGAGAACCACACTCGGGCCGGCCAAAATGGGGCTACTAACAGTAGGCTGACACCGTCCTGACGGACCCGCTCCAGAACCTCCGGAAGCAGAGCGACTGGGGGAAAAGCATACAGCCGCAGCCTCAGCCACATCTGTACCATGGCATCCAGCCCTAGCGGGGCTGGGGGCGAGAGGGAAAACCACAGAGGACAGTGCGTCGTCTCTTGAGACGCAAACAAGTCCACGTCTACCGAACTCTTCGCACAATAACTCCACCACCTTGGGGTGGAGTCTCCATTCCTCTCTACCTCAGCCCCTGTCTCGACAGCAGGTCTGCTCCTTGATTCTGGGTCCCAGGGATGTACATCGCTCTGAGGGACAGCAGTCTCTGCTGGGACCACAGGAGGATCCAATGCGCCAGCTTGCATAATGGGCGCGAGCGCAGACCCCCCCCCCGGTGATTCAAATAGGCCACCACCGCCGTGTTGTCGGTCCTGACAAGGACGTGAGCCGCAGCCCCAAACGCCGAAGGTGGGCGAGGACAACATCTCGATGCCGAACCGCTAACTCCGGAGACTGGGCCAGGATGAGCCAGTTGGCGGGGCCGGCAGATTGGCACGTGTCTGCTGGAGGCCAGTGCGTCCCTGGTGTCGATGCAGCGGGATAATAGTGCCTGCTTCCTGAGCTGCCCTCGGTCTCCTCCTCTCGGGAGGGGGACCCCCGCTTCCTTTGACACCTGTCGTGGGAACCAGCCCCTCGGGGTTGGTGGCCTAGGTCTTGTGCTTTGGGTCCCCGGTGGCATCCTGAAGTGGAGGTCCGCCAGGGAGATCCCGCCGACAGCCCATGGAATGCGAGCCAAAGCGCCTGCCGACTATGGCCCCTCGGGACAGGCAGCATGGCGCGTGCTTGCTGGAGGCTAGCGTGTCCCAAGCCTGCGCCCGAGACTGAAGAACGGTCCTCAGATCCCTCGTCTCGGGGGGTTGTGGGTGAGAGCGCCGCCTCGAAACCCGAGTATGCTGAGGGGGAGCACGAGAGGCGACACTCTGCCTCTGGGTCTGGCGGTAGGAGCTGGATGACGGCTGGGCCCTCACGTCTCTCCACAGCCGTCGCCATCCTGGCCCCCGAACGACGAGGGAGATATTGCCGGAACGCCTCTCCTTGCGTCCTGGCATGCTGAAACCTGTTGACGACAGCGTCAACCGCCTCGCCAAACAGGCCAGAAGTCGCGATCGGTGCGTCGAGGAGAAAGGTTTTCTCTTTCTCCTGGATGCCCAACCGGTTGAGCCATAGGTGCCGTTCCGTGGCTAGCAGTGCTAACATGGAGCGACCAATAGCGCGGGACGTCTCCTTTGTGACTCTTAGTGACAAGTCTGTAGCTCGGCAGAGCTCAGCAATATCCTCCTCAGAGGGGCCTGCTCCCGGAAGTCTTCCTCCTCCATGACGCTAAGCATGGTCAGCTCCCCAGAGCCGGATAGCTGCAGCCTCTCCTGGCTCATACCTCGAGCGGGAGAATCTGCAAAGCGGGCTCCCGAACGAGACAGAGGGGAGTCGGAGTCAGCAGACGAGACATCGGAAGCCTCAGCAATCCCGATGCCGTCAGAGATGTCGATAGGATTGGAGCAGTTTCATTCATGTTTCAGCCCTGCCACACCCAGAGGCGTTCCCATAGTGTCGTCACCGACGCAGTTCGAGTTCCCTCGAAGGGGAACTACTGGTTACTAACCTTCCTCATAGGGATATGTGAATATTTGATCTGTTAACTGGTTGGAGTCGCATGACTCCCTAGGAAGAGAAACACTGTTGCTCTCAAACACTGTCCAACAACTGAGTCAGTGTGCTGGTGAAGGGAGAGATCAAAAAGGCAGATAGAAGGTTTGCAAAGTGATTTTGTGGTATCTTAGAATAGTATTTTTAGTATATATATTTAGTAGTATATATTGAAATAGTGAGTATTTTGATGCATGGCATCACTGCTGTATTTTCTAGTTTATTTTGAAACACTTAAAATTTGGGTATTTGGTATCGTATTTTAAATTACATTTTAATGTATCTTTGACCATCACCATGACCAAACCACAACTCTCACCACTGTGCACCCTCAACACTGTTTTTTACTCTTTATTTCAAGGTCTAATTAGGGCCCCATACCAGGGCCGAACACAATCATTAATTCTACAACTATAGCCCAACCAGTATTAACTTTTGTAAATAAAATGTAAATATTTGAGTGAAAATACTAGAAAGCGATTAATTGTATATTTTGATTTCATAATTTATTTTTTCAAAATATAAAACTAAATCCCTTGAGAAATACCATGATATAGAGCGAACATCGACAAAGCAAGTAATGTGACTAATGTAAGCTAAGTTGTTTGTTAGCAAACTGTCACTAGATTAGAATTGCTTACCCCACCTTTTAATTTGGTTGACTAGGGTTGACAGGGTTTACAAAGAATGGTGTGAAAAGGTAAAAACATCCAGTATGCGGCAGTCCTGTGGGCGAAAATGCCTTGTTGATGCTAGAGGTCAGAGGAGAATGGGCCGACTGATTCAAGCTGATAGAAGTGCAACTTTGACTGAAATAACCACTCGTTACAACTGAGGTATGCAGCAAAGCATTTGTGAAGCCACTCAGTACCACTCATCTCCACTACAAATAGGAAAAAGAGGGTACAATTTGCAAGAGCTCACCAAAATTGGACAGTTGAAGACTGGAAAAATGTTGCCTGGTCTGATGAGTCTCGATTTCTGTTGAGACATTCAGATGGTAGAGTCAGAATTTGGCGTAAACAGAATGAGAACATGGATCCATCATGCCTTGTTACCACTGTGCAGGCTGGTGGTGGTGGTGTAATGGTGTGGGGGATGTTTTCTTGGCACACTTTGGG